GTTTGTACATGTAACTTCAAATACATACCGGTAATACTTATACATAACACAAAAAGGTAGCCTATAATGTATTGCAGAGAGGAGAGGGGTACAATTTAGCTCTCATTTTTTTAGTTCTTCCCCTGACCTCAACCTTCTCTGATCAGTCTCTTGTTGAGCAGTTTGTGATTGCATGAACCATGTGACCATTCCAGGTTAAATAAATGAAGGCCAAAATGATCAATGGCTGTCTCCAATGGCAACAATAATTAATGCTGTGTACAAAACAACAACCCTGTATCAAAATAAAGAATCAGACGGTTGAATTGTAATGCAGAGAAACTAATTGATGCAAATTAATTACAAGGTCGAAGGGGTCACTGACTTTTGCGCCATGATGACATTACATGTACAATTTTCTCTATACTATTATTGAAACGCACCGTTAAAAATTTAGTTACCGGTACATACAAAATGACAAATTTGATATCGCACTCTGCTCTCGGACTGTTTACAGCATTTAATCATTCAAAGCAGATTTAAACCCTCAAAAGGCATGATAGAAATATATACATAAACAATATTTATGTGTACACTGTACAAGTACATGTCCATGTATTAACAATCATACATTTACATGATAGTTTGCATTCACGTTTGTATATTAAACTTAACAGAATATGACACATTAGATAACATTTTTTTTTAATGAATAATTATCAAAATATTTCCTCTGGTAAAAAAGTTGTGTTTGATAACATGCAAATTAAACGTTATCCTTTGAATTAATAGGAATGTTTTTGTTGCATTTTACATTGGTTTCTAATGGCATATTTCAAGTATTTCCATTCTGCAGTGTATTGGTTGAGAAAATAGAAGAATTAAATCAAACAGCACCACTAAGGTTTTGACACCACATTAAGAAGGCTTTAATTTTCATTCCTGAAGTGAAAATTATTAAATAACACCTAAATAGAGTTCATGGCCGTAAAGTACGTGTCTGTGACTAGGTGTAATATTGAAGCCCTAAATAATTGCGCTTCAAAATGATCAAGAAGTGCCTCAAAAAAGTAAAAATCTTTGAGTGACCGGTTTTACCATACGGTACTCATTTGCCCCAATGTTGTTGTGTTTTGGGCTTTTGGCTTATTGGCGATTAGTCAGTTGTGACTTTTGTCGCCAAAATACTGTACGTCTTATATCTCTCATTTTTGCATTATTATTTTATTTTTTTAATTTTTTTTTTTTAATTTATATTTATTATCTATCTTTTAAGATAGTATTGAAAAATAATATCATAAGCAAAACATTCATGTGGGCTTTGTGAGTGTTTCTTAACAGTACGTGCAGATTATTTGTTATATCACATACACACCATTAAAGATAGTACCTACAACACAAGCCTCTATATTCAATAGTCTTATCATACCATTTATCATTGTTGTTACTTTTCTTATTGTATACACTGTACTGTAGTGTTAGGAAACCAAATTTCTAAATTTTGATTTCCAATTATAATAATCTTGATAATCAGACAGGCGATCGGCTTGTAAAAGTCATGGGGTTCTAAAGGTTTATAATTATCATTGCAGCTTGAGCTAAGTCCAGGATTTTGTTTCAGAATCTGAGACAAAGTTACCCAATCCCTTTTTAGACAACTACATGTACCCGATCATCTACCATCCCTGAATCAACTACAGTATATACATGTAGCCCTAGTTTTGTGCAGATGTTATTCACCCCACCCCCCCCCCAAAAAAAAGACATCATATTGCCCAATATCATGTAATTGAACATCATAAATATACATGTAGGCCTACCCCTGATGCATGTGTACACTACAGTTAATTTTTCTTGCTATTTTTAAAGAGAAGGTTGAGTTCTGGGAAGAGGTGAAAAATAATTTGTGAGCGTTATCATTGTATTATGCAAGTGTGGAAGAACATCAGCTAAAAAATGCTCCCTGAAAAGCATGGCTCTTTTAATGCCTCAATATTCTAAATATGGCATGTAACATCATAAAAACCGGGACGGATTTATTCGCCACATGTTTGTGTAGTCTCATATACATCTTTCTGATGATTCCAGAACCTTGCAGTACACACCAATAATTATATGTCAGATTATCAACCTTTTTTGATCGATTCCACAACGTTTCTTTCATAATGCAATCGCATGACCACAACTCAACTTTATCTTTAAAGGCAAACAGCCTACAACAAACAACACTGTGTCTATGTCTGTTGCAATGAGTAGTACTGTACCATGAAGCAGATCATCTTTCACCTAAAAAATACCGTTTATTGTTCCAAGAAGCTTTTTTTGGGGGGGGGGGGACTCAGGGGAGCCAATCTTCTTTTATAACAGGAAGGTTGTTTTAGGAGCAATATATAAATATTACCTATATATTTGTTGTTTTCCATTACCCGGAACCTTTCTCTTGTTTTAATTCTAGAAATGAAGTATAACACCTGTACATGTACAAATCAGTCTCTGCTAGTGCTACTGTTCATTTTTACTTTCTGTTTCTCTTTGTACTATTTTCATGAAGTTACAATGGACATTCACATATAATCTTCATCAGAGGATTGGATTTACTCTCATTCCATCATTTGATAAAATTCTGTTCAGCATCTAGACAAGGTGAAGAGTGATCTTCTACTGATGGTGGATGGCTTGTGTGAATTTGTGCCTAATTATGTACATGTTTATAGTGCAAGTAAAAATAATGATGCTGTGACTATTCGCAGCTGATGGCTTCCTTGAACTGCTTCAATGTGGGCAGCTCAATTATATTTGTAGGAAGCTCATCCCAGTCTTTCATGGTACGAGGAAAGAAGCTGTACTTGTAAGAATCAGAGGATGTACCAAGTCTGGTGAAACGAAGATTATGTTGACTTCTTGTAGCTCTACCTTTCTGTGAGATGTAATCTGGAAGAGGGATGGCTATCTGATGATTCTCAATATTTCAAACACCACAGTACAAAACTCAACCGATTCCACTAAAAATTGGTACATTAGTGACAGACAATTGATGACACCTAAATAGCAGCAAAATACAATTTTTTTTCAACTTACCGATGTAAGAAAGAATAATTTATAAAAATTCAGATCGTGAGTCTACTGTCAAACTTGCCGATCAGCCTAGGGACACTGATTTACTGTTTTAAAAAATGGCTTTTTACGTTTCAGAAAATCTGGAATTCTGTGAATTCCGTTTTGCCACTGATAACTACTCAGAAACATATGGACGGGACTGGATAAACTTGATGCAAAATACCAGTGAAATATACAAAAAATTGTCAAATGTTTAGATTTACCAACTTCAAATTTGAACTTAGACAAGCAGACTAAAGTTAGCAGAATGCATCAGAACACGACATATTCCTGACGGAACGATACAGATACAGGCTGACTAGTACCGACGTCGACAAAAAACATTTCAGTCTTGGCTGTCATGTCAGCGATCGATCGATTTTGGGCGCATATGCCAGCCCCTTTTTCGAACTGTACAACAACGTGCGTACAATCTCGCCGCACTTAGCGCCCACTGCTGGCGTGTGTGTGAGCCTAGTATTACGTCTAGTATGACGCCTAGCTGGCATAATAGGATTGATTCGCTGCTATTTGTACCATGTTTTGTGTCACGATCTCTGATGGTCCAGCGAAACAAAATGGCAGCGCCCTGTCTCCTAAAAATCTGACGAATATCGCTTAATATTCAGAGTTATTAACCATGATTTTAGGCCCGACATTTTTTCACTGCATAACAAATCGCAAAAAAAGTGTAAGTTTTAAGATTTTCTTCTTGAAAAAATAAAAACTTTCGAAGTGAAAAGAGTTTTGAAGTGAAAGGGGTTTTCCGCGACTTTCCGTTCAAAATTGCATTTTCCATTTCAAATGGTCATTTCCGTGAATTCCATGCACGTATATCTGTGATAGGTCATTGGGGGTGGAGTCTATCGACCTTTCGCAAACTTTATAATGAATATTCATTATACTCAATTCAAGATGGCTGACTGGCAATCCCGCTGACGAGAAGTCTTTTTCGAATGCAAAAAATCTATTTTGGAGCTGAATAAGCAAGCTATCGTAAGTCAAAGTATATATTTAAGTTTTCGTTATTGTATAGATAACTGGGGCTGTAGTATTGCTGCAAAATTAGATATGATGAAGACGTAAAAAGTGAAAAACCTCGGAGCATTTCGTTCATCTCTGTTTGGTCACTCTAACCTCACAGTCCCGATAGGCCATACTTTAGTCTATATAATCGGAGGTCTAGTGGAGCAAGACGTAGTCTCAGTGGAACAACAGACGATTAGAGAGACTGAAGCTTTCGGTCTATGACTCTTCATGCTTTGCTGGATTGGGTGAGCCCGGATCCATTTCCAAACACTCATTTTCATGTTGTCATGAATCTCTCAAAAGTAATTTTTAAAATTGTACTTTTCCATAAAATCGAATGGCAAACATGACAGCTTGACCTTTATTGAATTTTCCAAAATTTGAGCAAAAACACACAACCCCTAATAAAGTTCAATAGAATCATTAGAAATGATTTTGATATTGACATCATTGACCTGACTGATCTCAGTCAATTATTATTTAGACATCTAATTTATTCATTATGACAGATCACAATTCACAAACAGATCTTTTCATGAAAAGTGGTAGATAATATCACTTTTGATAAACAGGACAGATAACATCGTAAGATATACATGTAGGTCTAATGTATTTCGGACTAGTACCCCCATCCTCCAATTTTTTCTATTTCTACCGCGTCGCCGGAGAACGAGATTTGAGTGTCCGAACCCCCTCCAGTATCAATACATTACACAGTATACACACACAACATTGCAACACACACTGGGGATCACGCGTAGCCATACAGCAGCATTACTCCAAAGGCCAAACATCGCATGATAACAATTATTACATTTCCATTCAAATCAGCGAAACAAAACATTCTACAACATTTTCGGTTTATATTACATAATAAACGAAGTGACATTACTTACGGTTCGTACATGTAGGCACTGAACTGCAAATGACTGTTGGTTTCCTCATCTTACTTCGCATCCTTTTCTATTTTCTCAGAGCTTGCTCATCAATCGTGAAAGGTCAGCTTTGCCAATTTACAGAGTAGTGTGTTTCAGTACTGATCAATGGTACTGCACTGGTCAATATAAAAACTGCAGTTTATATTTGGGGCAATAGGTCACACCCGGAAGGTCCTACTACAGATCATTCTGTGGAACATATATCAGTGGTATTGTCACTGCGTTATTTATAGAATTTAGTCCACTATTTTGATTTTGTGTTCATATTTTTCCCTCATGTTTATGTTCGTTATTTGCGTTCAGGTTTTTCTTCAGAATAGAAATGCTGTAGGAGAGCGAAGGAATCCGAAAAGCTTAGGAGGGGGCGGGGCTACTTTTGCAAAGATGATGAATGTGGTCCTTTGATGTTTTTGCTTTTCGTCGTTGTTTTTGTTCTTGTTTTTAGTTTTGTTTTATTTAGGTCAAGTTTCCGGGTACTTGTCTGGAGGAAAAAAAACTGACAAGAAAACAAAAATGAATTAGCATATACGCCTACATGCAAGTTATATAGAGAGAGAGAGAGAGGTAGAGATACTGAGGTAGATGGAGCCGGAGAGGGAGAGAGGGGGGAGAAGGAGAAAGAGAAGAGAAAGGGGGAGGGAATATGAACTAGATCGAGAGGGGCAGGAATAAGAGAGGGGGCAGTGGTGGGGTAGAGCAAAACAAAAAAGTGAGATATATGTGACGTACTCGACTATTATGTCTATCTTTCTATGTGATTTGATAAGAGGGTTGAATAGCGAGGCTTGTGCTCCTCCAAATTTAACTGTCATTAATTTCAAATGTATTTACTGTTGTTCATTTATGTATTTATGTTCTGTTTTTGTTTATGTATTTATGTTCTGTTTTTGTTTATGTAATTGTTCCGGACCCCACGGAAGACCAGCTTTCCCATGTCGGGTTAGCTGAATGTGGGCTATCCACCGTATTTTATACATTTTTACTATGTTTTTATACGGAAATAAATACTTCTACTACTACTACTAGTACTACATTAATTTGGATTGGATGTTCTCGGGAGGCCGGGTTTGTTCACGGGCGCTTTATAACCTCTCAGTGCATAATAAACTTCGACACTGTACACCTTTCGTCATCATCAAATGCAACACAATAATATGTTGCAGTGGAGTATATAGAGACGTACGTGCCACCTTAAAAAATAGAAAAGGGAAAGAAAGGGAGAGTGGAAAGGCGAAGTTAAAAGGAAAATGATAGGCAAACCGGCTCCCATCAATCGATGGCCCTCAAAATTAGAACTTCATCTGAATTTTAAGATCGGCTGGGCCCCCTCCTAATGATGCGCCCTATAAAATTGGCTGGGGACCCATAGATCCACTAAATTTCACTAGACATAATATAAGAAGCGCGTTGTCGATATGGTTATCATTTTGTTGATAAAAGCTAAATTTTCTAACCTCTTACTAACAGGTTAGAAATTAATTAATTCTATGATAAGCCTAACTAACATTGTCAGTTAGGCCTATTCATAGAATGAATGCAAACTTATTAATCAAAATACCATCCTAAATCTATGACACGACATATATATACATGTATATATATAGCCAGTCGGTGAATAAGCGGGGGGGGGGGGGGGGGAGAGGCTAAAAACACATTTTTTTTTTTTCTCCCGGAAATTGGAAAATTATGCCGACCGATATTTCGTTCAGTAGGGGGAGGGAGGGGGGGGGGGGGGTAAGGTCAGTTTTTTGTCACCCTTTATTATTAACATTTTTGAGAGGGTGAATTCCTTCAAAACACACACATTTCGAAAAATTGAGGGGGGGGTAAACCCGCACCTGGATGCAAACATTAGTCTAGGGTCAATATGAATGGTCCTGAGATCGCCGGTGATTGCATTATTTTAAATTTAACCAACCTAATTGACATCGTCAATCTTTCCTGGATATTTGGTGGAATGGTTGGTTCGATTTACCTGACTGCTCAGAAAGTATGGGTATTATTTGAAGGAAGGCAAGCAGGGGACCTACGGCTTACCAAAGTGGCAATAGTCAGTGCATCGAATTGGTTTCGAACCCGGGATCACCCGTTTACGAGACTGCTATTCTATACCACCATGAGCCATCACGCCTCACAGATAACAGGTCCACCCTGATGCACCATCCGGCCACCACCAGCAATCGGCGCCCGCCTCGCGATGGCAAGACTGTACCATAAATATAGTTACCCAAATTGGCGCCGCATCTATTATGTCACTTACTTAAAGATTGGTTAGCTCCAGTGGAGGATCCAGGGGCGGGCACCCTCCGCGGGGTGAAAAACTGGTAAAAAACACGTTAATTTTACCTTTATTTGATGACGGGCCCCCTGGTGTCCAAGGGGGGGGGAGGGGGGAGGGCGGGTTGCGATTTTCAAATTTTCGGAGGCAAAACAAAATATTAGTACTTCTCAGGTGTTGTAGGTAATTTAATTATGGTCAGATAAGGATCCAGGGGCCCTCTTTCAGGCCCTTGTTGGGGTCCAGGGACATTTGTGACATTGGCAGGTCACTCATTGTTTCTCTCTCTCTCTCTTTTTCTTTTTATTTAAAAAAAGTGGGGGGAGGGCGCTGGAGTCCCCGAGTCCCGACGTTCTGCAGGCCCTGACATGAAGGCTTCTAAAAAGCATATTTTTTCGCCCGACTATAAATTTGGGAGTTTTTGATTTTCCCACAAACGCATAAAAATGTACGATTTACAAAAAAAGTTGAGAAAAAATACAGGAAAATTATGTCATTTCAAGCAACATTTTGTCAATTACTGGTATCGAATTAGAAATAAACCCCATCAGTAGTTCTATGCTTTTCTTTTTCTTTTTTAGAAGGGGGGAGGAGCGTTCTGGGGGGGGGGGGGCGAAACTGTGTTTTGCCCCCCCCCCCCATTTTTTTTTTGGTGGGGGGGGGGGGGGAGGGCGAGCGCCAGGCGCGGATCCAGGTTTCCTTAGGGGAGGGGGCCTTAGGGGTTTTTACACGTTCCCCCCCCCCCCCCGATCCGCCACTGGCGAGCGCCCCCTTGTCCCCCCCCCCCCACTTCCATCGCCTATGTATATTTATACTTTACACGGGACTTTACACCCTCTCCTTTTTTACCTAAGCGATTCGACTTGCTACTACAATTAAATAATATAAATAACCCAAAACAACGAATTGTTCAAAGACTAACAATAATGTTTATGGCGACCCAATCGAATCCGAATGGAGCTGATAACGGAAGATAATTACGTTCTAGATCATACATCTGTTAAAAGGTGAATACATTATTACGGTAATATTATTCCTTGATAACTTATCGTATATTTAAACTGATTTTCTGAGCAATATTGGTATTTATTCAGATTTCGTAGCACGCCAACGGAGCCCTATACAGAAACACGGCTAAAAATGTATCATTGTCCCATGTATAGGATAATGTGTTAGTTACTGTGTAACTTCGAATATATTTACATCTGGAGTGTGATGAATTAGACTGTTGGATTTTATCGAAAATTTGGTATAAATGTTAATCTATGTGAGATATTTACATGTAGGCGCTAGTGCACTTTCTCTCTGGGTGCCTAAAATGTGATTTCGTTGATCGTTGGTAATTTTTCGGAACGGACGCAAATGACTGCAAAATGAAAATGTGCCGATCTTTTGTCAATATTTTTATGATTTCACACCCAATTCCAAAGAAAATTCCGTCTATGGGTAATTATATGTTCTATTTGTCACTGGTGATATCGGATTTTTGAAATCTTACCAATTTTTTGAGATAGCAAACTTAGGTCACGCGCGAAACACATAAAGAGTATGGTCACACCGTCGTACTTAATATTTGTGCATTTCTCTCTGACTCTGGACTGCATTTCTCAATTGTAGCAGGTCTTTCCTTTACATTTTATTTAACGGAATCACAATTTAGATGCCTGGTGTGAAAATGACTTAGTGCATTCGATGTAACATTGTAACTATATTTAATTATTCATGAATAATGTCGAAAGTTTTCTATCATTGCCTAATTTTGACTTGGAAAACAAGGCAAAGCCAAAAGTTTTGAGGATTGAGGATGAGGCCACCCGGCCCTGTGAGCCTTTTTTGTCTATGACAGGCTGTCTCTGTGTGATAAGGAATTCATTTCAAATCGTTGACATCTTTGGTTTTATTAAAAATCATCTTGCAAGGGTTAATCAATTTGATCATTACCTTGTTGTTTTCATAAAGACTTTAATAAATGATTTGTACTTTTTACCTTTTTTTATTTTCACAATAAAATTGACCAAAATTAATTGTTTTATGTTAACAAAATGGAAGAAGAGAAATGGACTAAGTTCTCCAGTTAGGCCTATAGATAATTATTCATTTTACATTAATCACTGAAACTGTAAGATCATTTTTTTTTCCCATAGTTATTTGACTTATTTATGCACAATTTAAGATGCTGGCCATTTGATCAAAGGAAATCATAAGGCATGCTTTTTCTTACTGTATATTTACTTTTTATATTTTTTGTAGATGAGCACTGATCAAATAAGATGGAGCCACGTGAGAAGAAGAAATTGGCAGTTGCGGCTAGAAAGAGGATACCCGAAAAGAATGACTCAGCAGATGCCTCCATGGAAGACCTGTGTCGGAAAAAATTCAAACCCATCGCTCCCAAGCCTGTGATGAGAAAAGACCAGCATCAGGCAGTATTGTCAGTGCTTCCTGTAAAGAATAATTCATCACAAAGGAAAGAACATGTAGTGCTTCCATCCCCCAAGTTTGATCCCAGCAGTGCATTCATCATGAGACCTGGAAGCTCTTTTCCTTTTATGTGCGGTGGACCCATGATCATGCCGATTCCAGTGCCAGTTGTCCCTGGCAAAGATGGTTCCTATGTTCCTCTGCAGGTTCCAGTTCCAATTCCAGTCATGGTGCCAGTCGTTGTAAGTCTTAATCAAGCTGCATCTCCAAGTGCCTCAAATGCTACTTTCGCAGTTGCATCAGATTCCAAGCATAATGCCCCATGCAGTGAAAAAGAAAGTCCCAGTGGCAGCAAGAAGGACAAAAATAGCAAGAAAGGGACCTCGTCAAAGCAAGACAAAACATCATGCTCAGGAGAGAGTGCGGACAGTAAAGGACCAAAAGCTAAACCATGCCGGTACAAGTACAGCATGATCAAGAATGAGTCCTTGTTCAGGGATATTCTTCGTGGTGTTGGAGGAGATTTTATGGCCAGCCATGGCATTTCTATTGCAGTATCATCCAGTGATGCTCTTGATGTCAATAGCATATCAAAAGGAATGGTTGTAACGTTGGGTCAAAATAAGAAGAGCTCAAATGACAATAGTGATGATACTTCAGATGGTAGCCAGAGGCTCTCTACGAGTAACAAACAGATAGATGGGGAAGAGTCAAATGCATCAGTTACAGATACGAATGAGATTTCAAATGGAAGTTCTAAACAGTGTGGGGATGTGACAGTGACTCCAGTTGAGTCAAATAAATCTCAGTCTTCACTTTCAAGAACTACTCAAGGATCAGTGGTGACAACATCAAGAGATATCTCTGTGAATAATTGCCACTTACCATATCCATCTTACTCGGATTCATCAAAACCAGCGGCCCAAACTCCCACTGTGTCTGCTTCTCAAACAAGGTCGAACAGAGGGCCACCTGCAAATCAATCAGGCCGAAGTGTGCCACAGGAAAATAATTGTAATAACTTTCAAAATCCTTCCACCGTAAACATGAATCTATCAGTACAGCCCACTGGAACAACTCTTGGCAATAAGCCGTCAAATGAGCGTGCTAACATTGCTTCGTCTCCTTTGAGCGTTCCTAGAACGTCTGTCCATTCATTCCCTTACTATAATACTTCAAGTCATAATAATGTGCCTTTACCAATGACAAATCCAAATACCCTTGTTTCTACACCATCCAGTTCTGTGGTTACCAATAGCAATATGCAGGAATTGCGTCCACAATGTCCTCCAACAAGTTCCGTCGTAGCTGGTGCTTCTCACAGTTCACATTGGAATTATGCTCAAGGTAATCAGCAAAATATGACAAGAAACGAGCCACAAAACAGACACGTGCTTAGACCCTTTCATAATTTAGCACAAAGGATTGCGGCAGTACAGAATGCTGAGCATGATCACCCAGATGAATCAAATTTTTATGGCATTGATGAACTTCATTCTTTCGGTGTAGAGATGGACCAGTCTGCAGGAAGCTTACTCAGTTCTTCAGATGACAGTGTGAGTGCAGTTCTTGGTATGTCAGATGTCGCTGGATCTGTAGCTGGAACTTTGACAGACAGCCCAACCAGGAGAGCTGTCACAGCTATAGTTACACCACTACCTCGCAGTGTTCCTTTGACAACTAGCACAGCGACCAGTACATCTGTATCGTCTCAAACGTCAGAAAATGTTTCTAATTCATCCCAGTCAGGATCTCAAAGTTTTGATGTTCCGTCGGGGCAAATAGGCAGGTCTTCTGACCAAGTAAACGCTCATAGCAATGCCCAAGGATCCAGTCAAGGTCATCAGTTTCTGTCAACAGCTTCATCTTCCTCTCAACCAACGCACCAATGGAGTTCATCAAGTAACAGTAATGTGAGAAGATTACCTAATGCTGACTTATCTCCAATACAGAATCGCTATTCAGAACCGACAACTTCAAGTAGTCAGCCAAATGGGATGGTTAATTTTGCTGCATCTACTGTTGGCCAGCAAAGGAGTATGCATATGGAAGGGTTGCAAAGCAGAACATGTTCAGCTGTAACGTCTTCTGGTCCCATGTCAAAAGAGCATGTTACTGCTACACAAACTTGTGTGGCGAATCCACAGTCGGCAAATCAAACATCATTGGCGTATTCTGCTGGTTCTCAGAGTACTGCTTCACATCAAAGGCAACAGGCATCCATGTCCAATAATTTCAGCATGCCGAATGTGAATACAAACCAGACCCTTGCGCCAAGGCCAAGTTTTTATGATAACTCAGATAGAACTAATATGAACTATGCACCTTCAAACAGAAATAGGAATGCTATGCCTAACAGCCAACAGATGCCAAATCCCCTTTTGGCAGGAAATGTCACCAGTGGCTATCCAGCTGGGTTACAGAGCCAAACTAAACAGGCTTCATATCCTATTGGTCTAAATTCAAATGAAAAATCTTCAAGCAAAACAATTGTAGGCAACAGACAAGGTGAAACTCAGCAAAGTCAAATGCACAGCTCTGCTCAGTCGTCAACACATATGGGTACTAGGACTCATCCTTCCCTGATGCCTGGTGTTACCAATAGCCAACCAGGGTCATCTGGTTTCAGTAGTGGTAACTTCTATAATGCAATCAGAAGCCAGGCACCAATTACAACACGATCAGCATCTGTTTCAACAGGAATGACAGCGACAACATCTTCTGTGACGGGTGCTTCAATGAGTAAGGTATGGCAGCCTTCTTGGTCTGGAAATGTCCCTGTCAGCCAGAGTAATCCTATTCCTGGTGGTGGGAGTCGACATCAACAACCGGCCTCTGTTGCCCATCGTGCAAGTTGCCCTGATCAAACAGGAGCCCAGGCACGACATGACAGCCCAACAACTGTGATGACATCTACCTCAGTACAGTCTGTTCCCCTACAGAGCAACCTGCAGACAAGACCAAGCATGGTTGAACCTCTGCCACCACCTGGTAATCTGTTAGGAAATCATGCAGGTGTGTCAGACACTAGAGGGAGCTCTTCAAATCGCATGCAGTTACCAGGTTCAGTCCAAGCTCCCATATTTCCAGGCAACAGTCAGAGGCAGCCTATTCCTCATCCTGCCTCTCCTGCAAGTTTCAATGTCTCCAGCACAGAGTCAGGTCCAAGGATGCCATATCCACTTGTTCCTCCAATCATGTTTGGAAACTCAACACCACCTCGGGGGATTCCCATGGGAGGTATCCATAGTGTACCGCTTCCAGGGAGCTTCCCTACAACTAGCATTTCAGAACAGAATGTGCAGCCATCTCAGGTCATGTCTTCATCACCGTCAGCCATGCATCATACTATCACTCCCGTTATGCATGATCGGCATCGGATGTACTTACCTTCGCATTTCAGTACTCTCCACAGACCTCTCTATATGTCACCTAGTCCTGCACCGAGCACAGACCTTCCCTTGCTTTCACCCCATTCATGTGGCCAACTCCATGTTCATGACAGTGTCCTGTACAGCCCTAGATATCCATCTTCCATTCATAGTTTGTCTCCAGGAGTCAACACCAACTTCCATTCTTCTCCTTTGCATCGCAGCTTTTCATCTTCTGACCATCAAGACAACTTTGCCAGAAATAGCATCAGTCACCCTGCACCTCATTATGATAGCGCATTATCCCCTATGCCACTGCGAATGCCACACCTTGGCCAGGGTTCAACAGGTGTGGCTAATCCAGTGAGCTCCCAATCAGCTCAGGTGCCACCGCCAATACCTTCCTTGCAGCACAGCAGCATTGAAGCCAACAGGGAGCAGAACTCTATCTTTGAGCAGAATCTGAAGAGACTCCTTGAGCGAAGTGCTAGAAGACACAGCATGGCTTTGGCTAGCTCACATGGATATCAAAGATCATTGCCATGTGACCATACATTCCCTCCTAGACCCATGAGCAGCTTTTCATCCCTTTCACCATATCCCCCTCCACATTCTGTATCCAGTGTACCCTACAGTACTCCATCCTTGATGGCTTCAACTCTATCAACCCCACCACAATCCATGCCAAGACTACCTCCACAACCACTGCCAAGCAGGCACACAACCACTACAACATCGCCAGGAACAGGTGTAGCAACAGCAACAGCAACAGTCACTACAGTATCAACAACTCTGACACCGACAACATCGTCTATTGTAACAAGCAGAGCTATTCTTGGAAACACAAGTGATAAGTACCTGCCTCTGGAGTTGCTCAGCCCAGATTCCACAAATGCCCAGCCAGCAACACCTACGACAGCTCCATCAACACCCTCTCCACAAGTTGCTGTTGACCTTGTTGTGAAATGTGGAGAAACAGTGTTACACTGCAGTCGTCAGGTACTTCGAGAGTCAGGTAGGACTGTCCTCTGCTGCTGGCATTGTGACTACCACACGGCTGAGCCACGCAAGATGAAAAGACATCAAAAGAAAGAAAATGAACCTCTCAAATGCCAGCTCTGTAGTTTCCAGAGTAGCTCTCGATGTAGTGTCAACCAGCATTATAAACAGGAGCATATGGATAAAGATGATCCATTTCGGTCTGTAAATCATTAAGAACTTTTAAAATACTTATGCATGTATTTGTTATGGATAAAGGCTTTGTGGAAAGTCTGTATTGATATGCTGAATTGTAGTAGTGTGAGTTAACATTTTTCAGGCTATGCTGTTGCAAAGTTCCTGGAGTTTGGGGAGGGTAAGTAAACTTTACTTAGCATTTGGCTTACCCGTAGCTTAATAAAATTTCTTAACTCGTATTCAGATCACATTTAAGCAACCAACTTTCGCAAGCCAACAGCACGGCAAAATACTAAACTGATGATGACTATTGTGACATTACACGGTCAATCAAAAGTATTGAGCAATTTACGTGTTGCATTAAAAGCACACTAATATGATTTTGCACAGCTTATGATGACTGCGTATGAAAATCATAAGCCTGCCAATTAATGCTTTCCAAAATAACTGGCTTATTAAGTCTGCTTTAAAGTTAGGGTAAAATGCTTGGCCAGAAGCATCAACTAAATATGTAAGTTGGCTAAGTAATTTATATAAGCAGAAAACTGAGTAAAATACTCCTATTTCTGACTTATAGATTTAATTGTACCGACCTTATTAGGGATGGTATAATGGTACAAATAGCGTTCTCTTTTGCATCAAAAATATGAAATAACATTTTCTCTTTTTGTCATAAGAAGTAATTCAATAAATGTCATGTGACTCTCACCAATATAATTCCACGCAAAATTATTTTACACTCTCTGTATTCTGAAAGACTTCTTGAGTAATAATTTTCTTAATAAAACTTATACAACTTTATATTCTTGTCTTACAAAAGGGAAACAAAATGTACAATACAAATGTCTTCATGTACTTGTAAAATGTTAATATGTAAAAGGACTAGTACCGGTATGGATAGGTTTTCCTAATCTCACATATAACTCCTCCAGTTACATTACAAATGCACAGATTAACTTAAAGAATTATATTACGTATTCCCATTTAGTACTTTGATGTACAGTACTAAACATATATTAATCACTGTCAAAACTCTGCAGTCATGGAATTGTTACCCCATTTGTTACAAGTTTTTTTTCTCTCTCTGTAGTTCTGTTACTGGTTATATGAAGAAGAAAAAAAGTTAAAGTTGATATGAGATAATGTGTTTGTGAGCAATACAATCTAACGTGCAGAAGGGTGACTCTTTGCAATGTATCCTGTATACAGCATATGGCATTTATCCATATATTTCATCCTTGAGTGTAAAATCTCTTTCTTTAACTATGACTATAAATGGTAGTGATACCAGAAAGCACCATTATTCAAAGGCCATATTAAGAGATTCTTTATTTTCATATGAAATGAGTAGGAAAAAGGTAAATTATGTCATGTGGGACACTTGCATGGAATCGCCCAAAAAAGAATGACTTCCATGTACACGTATAACCCATGTAAAAGGAAGATTTGAATCATACGTGTCATCATTATATCAGTATGCTTATTACTGAGCATTACAAAAATTGTCTTATTCAGTAATATTTTCTTGAGGTCACTTCTATCCAATGATGTTAAGTTGTCAATCGTGTATTAGACCAATCAAATTCTATCATCCTTCATCCTCTTGTTTACTGATGCAAAGTGTAAATTCTGTGTAGAATATATCAGTTTTGCCGGTCACTTTTAACAAGAGTCAATGTACAACCTCATCACATTTCAAATGCTGGAAATTATTATTTTTTCAAAATGTCCTCCCTCAAACTTTTGGACTCTGGAATGCTCCAAAATGCATCAAGTTTGATATCATCCTTATGAATGAATGAGGTGTCCGTTCCTCCCAAGTATGACAAATATCAAATTAGTCTTTATCATGAAACATGAATGTGATTTGGATAACACTAAGTTTATGCCCCTAAAGAAACTTTTTTTTTGCTAATGTTATGGCTCATGAGTTATCTCTATCAATATTATTTTGAAAGTTTTCAATTCGCCAAGTTTTCATTGTATCAATGACCATTTTATGTATAGGCTCTGCCTTTCTCTGCATCTGTAAATATGTTTTCATATGTAGAGAGAATGTGATTATGGGATATTTTGTTTTGATTTTGTTTAACATATTTTCCAATATTTCATACATTTGCTATACGGTATATGTTTGTACATTTCTTATGATTTGCATTTAATGGCTCGTTCAACTTAGATTTGTAATAATAACATCAGTTTGGAAATAATTATATTGATAAAAATGATGGCTGATGGGACCAGCATGCAGGATTTTATTTTAAATTATGAGCATAATTGACACATTCTGAATATTCCTTTTACATGTTTTGTTTTCAAATTTTTGTTTAAATCGTATTGCATTTATACATGTTTACATGAAATGTACAGGCGCACAAATATTTTGGTATTTAATGATATTTCAAGTAAATATATTCATTTTCCACATTTAATTTGATGGAGAGGGAACATATTATCTGACAAGTATGGAGTGATTGGAGTCAAACATTATTTTAATTTCATGATAATAGTTTGTGTATATGATATGTCTTTTGATCGTTTAAACGCCATGCTAACAAATATCTTTATATCATCTCTTTAGCAATCACACATAAAAAATAAAAAATAATGTGTAATTGTTTTTTATTTTATGGCGTGTTTATAGGGAACTGAACCTTCATAAAAAGATAGTTTCATGGAAGTACATGAAGTACATGAAGAAAAAGGGTCAACGGGGGAAAAATAGTGAGAATTTAAAACAAAACTGAATAACTATAATGAACTTCTTCATTTCTAAAGTTGATATTGCTATCATATTGAAATCTCTCAATTGGCAAATTTATTGTGATGTTTGATATCACATGGACTGACACTCCTTTCCGATTTGATTTTTTGGGAAGAATTTATGAGAATTTGTCTGTTCTAATTTGAAAATTGAGAGGTATTTTGAGGGGGGAATTGTTTGATAGTTCAGGTATGACATCAACCATCGTGAAAGATTTTCCAAAAAAATTTTTTTAAATAAATTTAATCACTATTCATTCTTGTCCCAACTTTAAATACTCGGTAGGTGCCACTAAGTTATAAAAAAGGAGCCTATATGTTACATACCAGTAGAACTCTCTTCATATCATCTCATTGTTCATCAATCTGTTTCTCTTTTTTTCTTCTAGTTATAATAATTCTTAGGATTAATTGTCCTTTAAATACCGGTAGTGCCTTTAGCAATAAAAACGCACAGTAAATCAATAATCGCATTACCTGTATAATTATCATACAAATTAGGCCTAATTAGAACAAGTCATGTTGAAATTTGTTTTCATATGTATGTGTTTGGTTTTATGAATGAATGTTTCATATACAATTGTCTTTTTGCATATTTTTACCGCCCAATTTTTGAGAGTTTAAAGAGAAAGTGTTATTAATTTGAACATTGATATGAATATGATTACATGTAATAGATTTATGGGGTTTAAAATTATTTTTCAAAAGCATCATTCTATCCCAGACATTTTCAGGTCATCACTTTGTGTTTACTGTTGTAGTTTTTGTTTTGTCAGAGTTTTAACAGAAACTTTTTTTCTGTTTGCAAAATTTTCCCTCTTTTACAATCTTTGTGTATTTAGAATTGCATCAATTATTTTCTTTGACGGAATTTCAGCAAAATGATGAACAGGTTTTCAGCAGGTCCCTGTAACTGTTTCATAAAACTTTTTCATTTAATCAATAACAAATTGACAATACTTGATAGAAGCAATTGAAATTGTTGCATTTAGTTTGCTGTGAGATAATTTTATGTAAGAATTGTGATAGGTGACGTGAGAAATATTTTGGTGAAAAAGGGCCAGGTCTATGAAAGCCTGATGAAATAAGTAAGTAATCCTAAATATTTACATTTCTTTGGAAAGGGGCGACGGGCCGGGCAATGTGTGTGACATTAAAGTATTCAGAATCTAAAATATCAAAAAGTTTAGTATACTTTTGGGCATAATACCTATGTCTTGTTTATATAGAGAGCATATAAAGTTTATGCTCAAGTATCACTGTAATTAACTACTTATATGTGGGCATTGTGTGGCCATTATTTTATGTAATCATGATAAAGAGTGTACATGTTGCAGATTCTTTAATTTGAATATTATATTATTTGTAGAGTGTCTACCATGTATAAAGCTAATGCCCAGATAGGTTCTTATGTTAGCATTTAATTGATATTTAATAGCTAGGGGAAGATGAAAGACTGCATGTCTCTGATTTTTGAAAAGTTGATCAAAATTGACAAATTGACAAAACTCGTTACATTGATAGTTTTTTTTTTTTTGTGGGAGAGGGGGTTAATTAGAATCGCTACAAGTTACTTATGTTATACATGTATGTGTGCTCGCAGACTTGGAGCTGTTATTCTTGCGCTTCACCCTACATTTATAAATAAGCTATGGGTATTTCTATAAATTTACAAGTGAAGATGTTCAACGTATGAATAATTTGCGAGGTATTTCTCACATGAGAAAAGGTCTTCTGTAATTTTGTTGGCAAACAAGCAACAATTAATGAATATCTTAAATTTTCATTGCCCAATTGTTTAAATTTGATGGTTTATGAGGAGTGATAAACCTTCAACCATATTAATAGAATATATCAAGAGATGTAATTTGTTAAATAGTTCCATATATTTGGAGTTCTTTCTCCCAACAGTTTTCACAGCAATAATGTTACCAAGCTGTGTAGATATCTTTTGTAAGTGGCTATTTGTACTTGAAAAGTCTGCCATTTGTTTATTGTTTTCTAGATTTTATGCACCAAAGAGCCAAGTAATAAACATAGATTCTTATATGATCTTTTGTACAAAATGAAAATGGTGTGTCATTCTCTTTCATTAAATTTCATTAAATATTGTTATATTTTGTAAAGTACATTTCTTTGAAAGTGATGTTCAAAGTGTAGCTTTTTCATCCGGGGGGGGGGGGGGGGGGGAATAAAGTGTTTTCACTAAGATTATCTTTTTGTAAAGATAATGCATTGATATTTGATGGCACTTTGTATTATTTCATTGAATACTCACAAAAGAAATACAAGAGGCCAAATGTAGTTTTCCATGTAATGGTTTCAAGCAGTTTAGAAAAAAGAATGATACATATTTTCAAACTCACTTATTTTTCCACAAAAAGGTTTATGGTAAATTTGAGTTCTCGCAATGACAGGAAAAAAATTCTCAGAGTTTAAAAAAAAAACTTTCAGGTTATGCTGTACTCATCTGTGCACTGATTTTAGAGTGAAATGTACAGCAGCTTTACAATAAGCATAGAAAGTTAAGTAAATCCTCATACATGTATCAGTCCATACTCGTTCTCCTTTTTTTTCAGCAAATTTTTGTCTACCAGGTACTTCTATTTTTATATAATTTTTCTTTTGTTGATATATATTCCTGGTCCAAACAACCCATCTGCTGCGTGATAAATACGTCACAGTTACTCTTAGCCAGTGGGTTCGAATTGCAATCAAATTCCCAGAAAGATTAAGTTTTAATATTTCCTTTGACAGTGTGGCAAGAATTCAATTATATGAGGAGATTTCATATAAGAGTGCCTGACCTCGGTGAGAATGCCCTCGAGTATGTTGTTTGCTATACATATATATATGCATATATGCGTGTGCCTACTCTTTGCTTTTGAAATTCAATTAGCAAGAGAGACAAGTAATATAAGTCGAGAGCCATCAGGGACTTTTAGATTCGCACAAAGACAATTTGGATTGCTACGATCGACGTCCTTATAAAGGGATCCGGTAACTTTGTCTTAGATCCTTTATAAATAATCCTTGATTTAGCTCATGCTGCAATGATAATTATAAACCTTTAGATCAGTCAGGAACTCCATGACTTTTACAAGCCGATCGCTTGTCTGATTATCAGGATATTAATGATTGGAATTACAAATTTTGAAAACCGTTCACTGAACGGTTTTCATAACACGACAGTCTATTGGGGAAAACGAGTATGGTAAAACCGGTCACTCAAAGATTTTTACTTTTTTGAGGCACTTCTTGATCATTTTGAAGCGTGATTCTTAATATTACACCATACCACAGACACTGGTAACATATAGGACCGTGCATCTCGGATTTAACATTGTTAAACGATCCCTTTAATGCACTGCCTTGAATGGACGTCACAGATCAGTCCAAGCAAATCTTAAAGTCCCTATTCTATAAATGTCAAGAACGAAACGCGTCATACCACAAATGTAACGTCTAAAACACATAGAGAAACGTATATAATTTCTGAGAAATACCAGGTATGAGTATACAGAATTCCCTCCACATAGATTAGAGCTTAGCTTAATTTTTGCAGTTCTCATCTCTTGAGTTAATACAAATATACATTTTGCATAGGTCGAGGTTATTTATATGACTGTATGAACAGACTATGACGACTACATGTATTATTACTGACGTATCATCCTTTGATGGGCATCGAGTCATACCCATATATACATGTAGTTACATGTATTTTAAAACAACTACAGAAAAGAAGTACAAAACCATGATTTACATGTAGATATATCTCTCTTTATATTCTTTTAATATACAAATAATCTATTTTTCAACAAAAAATGCAAATGCACAGAAATATAAAAAACATATTCACAACTACTTTTTATGACATAGAACGCTGCAGAACAATGCCTATTACCTGTTCAAAGAATATACAGTACATTGCATATGTTCCTGTTCGGATTTCAGTGTAAATTTAAAAAGCTGTAAATCAGTAATATTTGATACAAATTATATTTAAAAAGCACCTGTAGACAATTCATAAGTCAAAACTATGATGCTCCATTATCATGCAGTGAGGTGCCTCTTTCCTGAAAGAATATTTGAATTAACCATGGACATTGCACAGCGAAATAAACAAGTCATTTACATGATACTAAAATTGATCTTTCAAAATGAATGTAAATAGTGTAAGCTATTATCCCTTCAGACTTATTAGAGGTAAAATACCATCACTGCATTAATGACACATTAAGTACAAAACAATATATATATATATATGCTATTTTTTCCCCTAATTATGCCCAAACAGCAATTTTATTCTGAAAATGTGATGAAAATGGTTGTTTAAACAAAACGATGGATTGCAATCATTCTCACTATCAAAGGAAAAATGTTGAATCTTCAATTTTCAAAGTCAAAGTTTGACTAAGGCTCTTCCGTCTAATCTAATGTATATCTGGGGGTTGATAACCTCCATGACAGCTCTTTTAACACTGGTACAGATGAATCCTGCGATGGAAAACGTTAAATGATCTTGAGGCCTTTGGTATATCTACCCTATGAACAAATACAATGTGATACAGGGAGATTATTTTAGTTCATTGTGATGTCATCATCCTTTTCAAGGCAATATTTTCTCATATTCACACGGCTGTATATAAGTGAAAAATGAAAATAAAATCAGTACAGTCAAACCTGCTTTAGTGACCACCTGTATAGAAAGACTACATTTGTATAAAGACCACATTTTTTGTTTCCCTTGAAAATGGTTTCTCATTGAAACATGTACTAAAGGAACCTGTACATAAAGACCACCTGCCTTCAATGACCACTTTTCTTGTCTCCCTTGGGTGGTCTTTATAGACAGGTTTCACTGTATATTGAATGTTAGAAAGCATGACATTGAATGGGGATAGAAAAATGACTGTGTCCATTCCAGTACAATAAGATATAATCAAAGAGCTTTTAAAAAGCTTGTAAAACTTAAACGAAATTCAGATTATCATAACAAACAAATATCGACTTTACATCTTCATTCAAGAGATAACACGTAAATTGCACATCAAAAGTCTACATTGCATTACATACTATACATTCACATTACATGGCATGTATGCATACAGTTTCTGGCTATCATAAAAAGTAAATAAAACTGTGATCATTTTAAGTAAATGTTGAGATAATGACTGAAAGTCCATACATGTTTACAGGAAAAGTAGGCAAATTTCATAGTTTCATTTAATTCTTGACCAAACCTACATCCATAAAACTTTAGACTGATCAAGTATTATAATCATACTTAAAATCCTACTTCCAAGCTGCAATAAAATAATTAGGTCTGCCAAAGAGCTCAACATTTCCCCATACTAACCTTGTACTTTACCGAGAACAGTTTTGGAATCATTGATATGATTAAAACATCATATAACATAACATAATATCAACTTACCATCATATAACATAACAAATCACACGATAGATGATTCTGTTGGTATAATCATTAATTCTCAAGTACAAAAATATAAATATAAAAGCTTGCAGATATACAACTAAAAACAAAAAAATGAGTAGTCATTACAATTTACATACAGTACATGTATCTAACAATAAGTTACTGATTAGATTCAATGAAGCACTTCTATGGCTGGGTTTAAAAAGCAAGGGAATATGAGAATGCGTATTAACCTCAATCCAACATGAGAAAGAAAGAGGTGTTAACATAACAAGAGAGAGAGAGGGAGGAAGAGAGAGAGAGAGGGGGGAGAGAGAAAGGGAGTGAGCGAGCCAAAAAGAGATAGCTAATTAGAGAGAGAGAGAGAGAAAGAGAGAGAGGGAGAAAGAGAGAAAGAGAGAGGGAGAAAGAGAGAGAGAGAGAAAGAGAGAGGGAGAAAGAGAGAGAGAGAGAGAGAGAGAGGGGGGGGGGAGAGAGAGAGAGAGAGGGGGGGGGGGGAGAGGAGGGGGGGGGGGGAGGGGGGGGGGGGGGGGAGAGATGTAAAGAGAAATGGGAGGAGAAAACAAGGAGTGGAGTGTGTTTCTTTGGTACAGTACATAGTCCATGATTACCCTACATCCCCAAATAAAGATAAGTATCTATGCAAAGTGAATCCGTATTATGATTCTCGGCCAGTTTCATATCACAATATCAAAATTCCCATATCTACAGGCTTGTTAAAAAAAAAAACAGAATCTTAAATATTACACTTGATGTTCTTCAATAAATGTAGAATTCTAAGATGAGTTATGATACTCTTATTATACTCATCATTATTTCCATGATGATGTTGATGATTCGCAGCATTTATTTGGCATTGTATGATTTCTCTTAAAAAAACATACCAAAGGGGCTATCCATGCCAAGGCACATCATCCCTTTCGCCCAAACCCTGAGGACTATTCCTCCAAGATGCCTTGATGTAGTCATGACTGAGAAGCAGAGATAATTACATGTTTTCTTCTCAGTTTGGGGATTCCCCTTTTTGATTTACACCACTGCTAACGGAGTGACATTTTCCATCGGACATGACGGAGATGTCCGCAGCCGTCCTAGATGAGCGGTGCTACCCTAAGTGTTTGGAAAGTGTTTTATATGTTTTCTTCAGCAGGTGGGTGAAAGCGCGATGGAAAATAATTACTGTTCGTTTGAAGATTGTGAATTAGAAAATAAAGAACACGACATCGTTTTAATACAATGGCTTATGACGTAAACATTGACAAAGGCTTTAAAAAATCAATGGCAATAACAATACTAATCATAGTGGGTTCTTGTATAGCGTTCATGTCTGTTAGACTTTACATCCTGGGCACTCCACAATTAAACATGGGTTCAGGATGGCTGCCATTATTTCGCTCAAATATTTTAAGGAGATAATTCCGTTCCACGTACCCATTTACCTCACCTGGGGCCAGAACGGCAAATGTAGATTAATAGCGATCATTGATAGTAGCTTAAGACAATTAATATCATTGACAGTGCCTTCTGACAAAATCATTGACATTGAGGTAAGATAAAATCATTTACAATGGTATTTGACAAAAATCCCTGACAACGACTCATTGTCAACGGCTTCTGGCATCCCCCAAAGTTGCCATTTCCCCCTCCTGAGTTTGGAGCAACAGATAAAGCTGAATGTCCTAACAGCAGGCAGGCAGGCATCATCAAGATTGGAAATCTCCGGTCTCAGGTTCGCCCGGAGGCCAGATTCTCCAGGGGTTGGTGTCTGGATCTCTTAGCTTTACTGTGTTCTTCCTGGATCTGATGAAAGTGCTCTAGCATCTGGGTCCAGTTGATGTTCTTCTTGTGAGACGATTCACCCTTACTGTACAGACGGAAGAAAAAAAAGGATAACAAAACTGAGAAACACCCCAATGTTATCATTATGCCTCAATGTTTTCAATAGTTGCAAATGAAACTCCCTGATCAAAATGATACTAAACAACATTAAAATCAACAAGAATAACAACAACAATAGTGCCTTGTTGCATGGCCCCCTTTGTTGTTGTTCCCCAACCACGATGATGGAGGATGCGAAAGCTAATGTGGTTTGATTAGCAAGTGGCGCTTGTAAAATGGCGACTGGCTGGAATGCTCCCCAGGGAGTGGAGAATGTGCATACCTTGTGTGCGTGTAAGCCTGAATCCGATGACCGGGGTAATAATAATATGTTGTAAAGCGCTGTGATACACATGTATGTCTGTAAGAGCGCTATATAAATGCCAATATTATTATTATTATTATGGAGCAGAAAATTTTCATATGATCTGAATGCCTGGCAAATGTGTGTGCATGAATGCACAGCTAGTGGTCAGAATTTTTTGAAACATATGCACTTTCAACACAGTTTAGTCCATAAAATTTCTTGAAATGTTTTGACCACACAATTTTCTTGATTTTTTTTGTCCTCACAATTTCTGAAAATACCCACTCTCAAGTTCAAACCTTTACACGATAACACCTGTACGACACAATTCGATTTGGTCCTTACAACTGTGTTAACATTGACAGATTATAACTTTTCTATACCATTTCTAATCCTTTTATTATAAAACAAAACACACAAAAAATTCAACCAAAATGAGTGCTCATATAAAGGTAAACAGGTAAACCACAAATCGAGAGTTCAGTGACACACAGACGTAACTCCATATTTTGCCAAAATGCGTATTTGCTATCGAAATGTTCAGAAAAATGTGGGCTTCCAAGAAACACCAAGACTTAGCTCCACCCAACACCCCATTAAAGTCAATGGCTAGTGTAACATGGACTTAACTCCTTAAGCCCAAGTGCTCAGTGACACATAAACCACTTTTTCTCAAAATGGCCAAAATGGAGTTACTTCTTTGTGTCACTAACCCCTCGAAATAACACCTGGCTGAATACTAAGCTCTGCTAACCTTGGACCAACAGCAGCCTTGTGGCCCGGTAAGAAGAGTTTCTTGGGGGCTCCCCCTGTGCCAGACAGGTACTGCAGGTTAGGTACACATGTAAGGCGATGGTGGAGGATGTTGAAAGCGGTGCTCTGGGGGAGCAGCATGAGAAGACCGTACAGGCTCTTCAGAAGATAGGGGTTATGCTCGGCATCCAACAGCTGAAGACGCAGATCTGTGTTAGAGGTCAAAGTTCATTCAGTTAAAACGTTTTTATTTTAGCTCTGTAGAATACTAGTACTGGTTTGAAGGCATTGTGATAACAAAATATCTGCACTCGTGATAAATCATTTACTTTCGAATTTTAGTATGTGCAAGAATAATATAATGGTGTTATTTCACAAGGTCTAGGGCATAATGTACATGTATAGGAGTAATAAATTTATGTACACTGGGGCAAAATTACATTGTTTGGATGATTTACAACATGATCTGAAAAAGAAGGAGAGATACAATTTGACCAATGCAATTACTAATATGAGATTACATATAATATCTTCAAACCCTTTGTAAAAATAAGTATGCTTTTAATACAGCAATTTGAGTGGTGTTTCATATACAATATGAGAAGTATTAGCATTTCTTCTTATAGTTTTGTAACCAAGATTTATTACCATGTCATACATTAATCTACTTCCTATGGCCACCATCTGTGATATTCAAGTGCAAAATGTAAAGGTGAAACATGTACATGTATAGCATCTTAGAACCTTCATACTCACATGTGAATATAGGTGACTCAATAAGCTGTACTAATTTGTCAATCTCTGTGAGAAAGTCAACCGTGACCTCCAAATCACCGCTGTGAAATTACCAATATCATTAAGGAAACAAAATTACAACTTAATATCTTTTAATTTTTGCTTCAATGAATTTCATAAACCTCTGAATCTTGAACAAATTTATAAAATATCATTCTAATAAAAAGAATGAAAAGTTCTAGGAGCTAGACTAATTACTACTTTAAGTAATATAAGAATGCAACAAACTACAAAAGACTAGGAAACCCAATTTTAGTACATGTTGTATTATGGCAAGTTGGGAAGTAGATGCGCTGACAAATAAGGCATTCCTTTATTTAAGACATCACACATGAGTAAATAGCACAAGAGTGATGTTATCACACAAATATTTTGAATACTATGAATGATTAATATATATTTGCAAGTAACTTCTTTCAACAGGACAATTATAAAAGTTGTTTGTGTTGAACTCACATTTCAAAACCTGGGACTCAAGTATTGGACATTGCTTTAGCTTTGCAGCCATTGTGTTGCTCAAAGCATTCAAGAAATTCTTCCCCTAATTGAGGTATATTCACATGAGCTTGTTCAACAGTATCTAGAATTTTTAAATATAAATTGGTTCTTTTTCTAAGGATACAATTGGTATATAAGATCGCAGGAATGTTTGTAGTTTTGAGTGAGGAGGCAAAGCGAGACCGTTGCAACTGGGCTGTGACACCAAGACTTGTAGAGACAGCAAAACAAACTGCAACTGGCCTGAGCGAGAGAAAATAGAGCCACACAGGATATAATAAAACATGTGTGAGAACAAGATTGGTAGTTTCAACTATTCATATATGACACAAGTCACAATTAAAGAAAAAAAAAGCATTCTTTCCTTTTCTATAAATATCGCTTTAACATATATTTCCTGCTCCTATCTGATGCACAACATAGAGAAGTATTATCTAAATGAAGTATTCTAAACTTTGTTCCCATACCTGAATATAGATGCTCTTTATTTGGGTCTTGTTCTGCCATCCCTATGAGATGACTTGAAATACCAATCATATCCCATGTAAACATAGTGAAAACTACAAGAATTTCATTCTAACAATAAGGCATTTGAAAAAAACACTTTTGTGGTGTAATCATTCTGTTTTCTTTCTTGTAAAGCTGAAAAGTGGGTGGATAGAATATGAGCATAGAGATTATAGATTGAAGAGTGAGAATATCACCTCTGTTCTGAGATCCTTGAGTTTATTGCGAAGATCAAACAGCTCGGTGGATGTGAGTAGAATAGTGTTTAATGTCTGGACCATGGTAGTAGCAAACTTCATGTCGGGTGAATCCAAAAGAATCTTAGATAGAGCCTGGTAGATGTGTTCTGCATTCAACAACAGGCACAGCTGTCTGTCGTGCATAGAAAGAATACAAACCGATGCTTTCAATCATTTAAGTCAAATACATTTCAATTCAAATTCAAATGGATTAAATTCAATGTACTGCAATCACCTTTCAGGAATTTTAGTGCTGTACTGGTAATTCATTTATTTCATGGCAAGAAATACCCGTGAGTCCGGACCACTCTGAATTACACGAAATCTTTTTTTCCTATGAAATATATTTTTTCCTATGAAATATATTTTTAGAACCCCCACCCCCCCCCCCCCCCCCCCCCCCCGAATTGCTTAATAGGATTATTTCAACTTTCACTATTAAAATAGAAGGATTCTTTCCTTAATCCCTCACCTGGAAAAAAGAGTCGTCACTGTTACTGAAAATACAAAATGATGCCCCAAAACCTTCGGAATTTGGTCGGAATCACCCAAATGACAGTACTGTTTATTTAGCCAGCTATATGGCACCAAGAGTATATAAAGCTTTTACTTGCTTTTTATCAGTCAGGCAAAATTAAAAATTATATCTCTTAACCCATCGCCTGCGGGAACCAGCTGGTCCCTGTATTAAAGCTATTGAAATGAAAGAATTCAGTAGTGAACGGCTTAAGCAATCTGTACTAGTTTACAGAAGGGATCGGACCACCCTGCAAGGTCACTGACATGTGGTTATCTCATCAAATCAGCTCTCACATTAACATGAGAAAAAGAGGATCATTGCGGACCAATGGTCACCGATTGGGCATTGTTTGCTATATATAGGGCGTGGGTAGCTATAATTAGTGCAGTGGGGCTTTAAACAATCTTTACCTGATGATAAAGGACCCTCTATCCTCCAGGAGTTGAGGATCGGTCGAGAAGAGGCTCAGAAGCTTCACCATGAAGTCTGTGAAGTACTTGTTTGTACCTGTCACTGCCCTGAAGGATGCGTTAGATGCCGCAGACGGAGCGATCTGATTGGTCTCTTGCTGGTCGGCAACAAAGTCTGGACCAGCCGACGAAGATACTATCTCGGCTAGGACCTCGAGGTCACGGAGAACAACCTACAAATAAGGCCAAAGAATTCATCCCAATTTCTTTGTTAACAGTGAAGTTTTAGCCTTACATTTTATGAACATTTAAGGTTATAACATTTATCACAATACTATATTCGCACATAAACATAGCCATTACATTTCTTTTTATTTCAACAGACTTTCAATTATTTCACTAAAAGTTTCAAATATACACTTTCCAATTAGATTCAAGCACAATTTTCAAGCACTTTCATTTACACTGACATACATCTGATAAGTTTCTTCTTACGTAAATACTTTGCATCAAATGTAAGAAGTTTTAACAAAATAATCAAATAGCTAGACGTTCATCCTAGGATGCTGATGCTGCAAATCCTATGAGAAGACATATAAGTTTCTATCAATTAGACAAAATAAATTGCAATATTACAAACCTCATCTGATGGATCTGAGAGAGTCTTCAAAATGACTGGGAAGAGTTGTTCAACATGATAGAATATCTGTTAAAATAAAACAAAATATAAGTTATATAACATAACACCACATGTGAGTCTTCTAGTTATATGGGAAGCATTATTTTCATTCAAAAATATCTTTACTTTGAAATACTTTGGAATAATGATTCTATACATGAAAAACTGGCTTCATCTATTAAAGTGATACCTTTCACAAACTTCTTCAAATTCTGTATTAGCAAATTACCGTAGTCATTTTCTTTTCTTTTTTTCTGCACAATGAGGCGTTGACAATGTGTACAAAACCAGGTAACATTGCTATCTTTTTTTTCCTGATTACTTTCTTTCATTATGTACACGCCTCTCTGTTTTGACCTCTCTATATCTCTCTGTCAACAACAAAATGGTTACAGTTATTGAATGCTTTAGACTAACCTTCTTTGGTGTCTTGATATGTAGATGGTAGATCCATTGTAAGACCGCTATCCTGGTCTGTATTGACTTGTGACCTAGGTACCGGGTCAGGACCTGGACTATGGGAGCGAGCTTCAGCTTGACTGGAAGAGTTATATGGGTTCTAAAGGGATGATATAATTCCACAATACAGACAGCCTGAATAACATTGAATGATGATTTATTTGGTCAAGTCCAAGGTTGTTTGTTCCAAAGATTACCGGCAGCATCAAGATTTTAGTTGTTGGATACCTGATTATTTTATCAAGTTCATAGCCCTACCAGAGCTTGGATCAGACCAGATAGTAAGAAAATTGACATTTGTGATATTATTTGTTCTCTTTTCTTTATTTTTGGTAACATATGGAAGCATAAAAATCTTTTATTTGCTTCATATTCCTTGACCATTGAGATATAGAATGCCAGAGACTTCAGGGAGGACGGATATTTAATACATATTTTATCTTTTTAGATGAATAGACCCCTCTAGGCAGTACTTAAAGTCACATAGAAGTCAGCTCTCAAGGGGAATTCGACACCGTTCGGGTGTTTACCCAAATAACAGGTGTTGTCAATCACCAGGGTTAGCCTTGAGTTTTATGACCATTATACCTTCTGTAATGCTTTGCTTTTCCTTCGCCCGAATAATCTCCGAGCATGCTCTGAGAGACTAGGGGTAATTCTTGACGGGCCAACGGGTTTGCTGTGTGCAGATTTCTACTCCCATTAATGGTATTTCCACCAAGTTTTGTGTCAGCGAATTATAGCCTTCAGCACATGGAAACTGACTACCCACTCCCTTTAAATGTTCGTACCATTGTCTAGCAAATGCAGATTTGATAAGACCTGACTCTGTACATACATGTAGAATAGAACTCTAATTAACATGAGATGTTGAAAGTAGAATTAACGCAATGAATTTCATGTCTACACTGTAATTCTGTGGAATAGACCAAATGACACCAACAAAATTGAACATCTCTGTGATAATTCAAAATGTCAATATGCAAGTTTCAACAAGTTGCTAAAAAAAAGTATCTGTATCTATGGGATCTAAAATGAGAATGGCTACTTACAGATCAGTTTTTTCTGGAGTGTTTGAGACTGGAGGTTGGTTGGTATCATCATCGTCACTCTGTGTTACCAGTCTCATCAAACTCTGATTCACCGATGTAGCAACTTCTTTGATGCGTGAGGTCAAAGGTCGAAGGTCAAGGATAATATCAAATCTCTGCTTTTATTCACATGAAATCACACTCTGGTATTACAACTTTTAAAAATTCTGTTCCCTAAGCAGGAGGTTTTCAGTTATGTAATCGTTTAATTATCGGCTGAAAGAAAGATCTTGCCATGTAAAAGAGGATTGTTATTTTTTTTTTTTTTAATGTAATCATATATTTTGACACTATCGTAAAAAGAAATGGGCCAGTAAAGTGCATTTACCTTCACAAGTACGAAAAGAGAATCATTATTTTTTTTATATACAGGACCAATCTATGACAATATTCAGCTTATATCAACAAACCTGTGTCTTTGATAAATAATGGAATTTTTTATGAAATATTCCCCCCCCCCCCTCCTCCCTTCCTGCACCTTATTCTCACATATTCCATGACTTTTAAAAAGGATATTCTTTCTTTTTTGGTCTTCGTACGCGAGGCAAGGAAGTGCGGCACTGAGTAACGCTGACATGAAATGAAGCAAGGACCTTCCAGCCAGGTTCAAGAATTCTCTGATCCACGTCATTGCTGTAAGCTGTATCAATTCAACTGAAAATAGAGAAATAGAAAGAATTTAATGCATTCAATATAACAAATATTTATATGAAATATGTTTCGCAGCACAAGGATTAAACTGCACACATTTCACAATGTTTCAAATACATTAATAGCATTTACGGGAAGGATATAATTGAACAGAAAGACTATCTTGTTATAATATGGTTTCAGTGAACAAATTCATCAGATCATTACACTCCCAGAATTATTTTGGGTACTCATACAAGTGAAGAGTAAGAATTAGCAAAACACCTGCTATATTGAATGAGGGTTAACGGCTGAAACACAATACCTAATAATAATAATAATAACAATATTAATATTCATAATAGTTATAATAATAATAATAATATATATAATAATGATAATAATAATGATAACGATAATAATATGTTTTGTTTCTTGTATACCGGTAGCATTTAGCACATATAACATTATGATATCACATACGGTATCTATGCCCTTCTGAAGGAGCTGGATATTATTACCCTGGCTTTACTCCCTCGACTTATTCTGTAAGCTTACACTTACAACATGATTTACAACAATGCATCATCGGCAATCCCATCCCACTTTTACACAATCACTTGGAAGCGTAATAAAAAACTCTTCCCCTTAGGATACGAGCATTTAACGATTCCATGACATTTGCTCCGGCGACAATTGCTCCGCTGTAAATTTCATACACTAATCGAATGGCTAACTTCAACCCTGGATTCAACACTATACCCTACCCTAAACCTAACCCTAAACCTAACATAAAACCCTATTGAAACCCTAACCCTAACCCTACATCTTAGACGAAATAAAGCCCGGAGCAATTGTCGCAGGAGCAAATGTCGTGTCACCCATTTAACAAGACCACTGAAATAAAAAATGGATGCCCCTACTTTAACCTTTCAATCATAAACAAATTGAAATTTCAGGAATCTACAATTCACCCCATATCTTTGATTTGCCTTGTAATTCGAAAGTATTGTTATTTCAATGCTTAAAAGGAACTAACCTTGGGATGTTGTATGTGTGGTTAGGATGTTCACCATGTTTGGAAAGTCTGCACTGCTTGGATTCTTGCGGATGCCTTTCAGAAACTCATCTAGACAAAACTCACACCTGTTCAAACATATTGAAGAATGCATAGTTTGAGCAGACTATTATCCATTCCCATCGGATGATGGAATTTCATCATGCATTGCGATACGGATAGGTAAAACTATTACATGGGTTATTCTATGAATGTCGGAAGGGACATTTAGAAAAATATTCTATTATTTTGAGAAAAGGAATCAGTAGTGAATATTTACTTCATGGTGATAGTAAAGTACTAACTGGGGGCCATATGAAGATATGACAACCAAAGATAAATATCCCTTCTCAGCAAAGTAGAGCTTAAATTATCATATGTCGTACAGGACACATAGAATTTTGATTTTACTGGAAATTCTAGGTATTAAAGCCCGTCTGTACTAGTTTGGCCAGGGGGATTAGACCTCCCTGCAAGGTCACTAACAGATGGTTTTCTCATCAAATCAGCTCTCAATTAACATAAGAAAAGGGGATCATGGGGGACCAACAGGCACCGATTAGGCATTGTTTGCTATTTTGAGGGCGCAAGTAGCCAAAAGTAGTGCAGTAGGGCTTTAAAGAAGACTTTAATACATCTTTCATACTGAAAATGTCATTACCCAAAAAAAAATGCACATTGCACAAGATTGACATCTTCAGGATGATATGTCCTACAGGACATCCCTGGACTTTGACATGTCCATATTACAGACCTCACACAATCAAAATGATAGTGTCTTCTTAAATGAACACAATCTAATAAAACAACATTAGAACAAGAGCTTTGAATGTTTCATATATTATAAATGGGCAATATGTATTGAAATATGAAATATGAAATATATCAAACAAGACAACTTAAATGCATTCATACAGTTAAGCATGTGTCTGCTGATGTACCGGTACACAGACTTTGAGACCTCATTCAGTTTTCATTGAATGACTAATAGAAAATTCCCTTTGTATCCATGTTTGTTTGCTATTTAAAGAGGAAACGAAGACGTAATAATTACATTTTTCTGACTTCCTTGTTTTGATCGCTGAGAATATGGAAGAGGCCATCCAGGATCTCTGGCAGGTAGACGAGCATGTTGATGTCTGGCACAGAGTCCAACGTCGTGACCTGAAAATAATGGAATCTTTCAATGACAGGAAATGTGACACCAATAAATCACCACTTCAAGTGAAAGTAATGCTCATTTGTGTTGATGATGATGATGAACAGCATTTGTATGGCGCCATATATCTGTTTCAGAAAACATTCAAAGGCGTTATTACTTTCATCAGTATCAGACTATTTTGAAGACCTTTGTATTTTTGTCCATTTTATCTATCTTATTAATACATTTCTACTTTTATGCTCTCCCTTCACTCTCTCACTTTGACTCTCTATCTCTTTCTCTCTCTATCTCTATCTCTCTCTCTCTCTCTTCTCTCTAGGTCTGCGTCTGTCTGTCTCTCTCTCTTCTCTCTAGGTCTGCGTCTGTCTCTCTCTCTCTCTCTATCTATGTCTCTCTATTCTCTCTCGGTCTGCCTCTGTCTTTCTCTGTCTCTCTATCTATCTATGTTTCTCTCACTCTTTTCTGTCGGTCTGGCTGTGTGTGTGTGTGTGTCTCTCTCTCTCTCTCTCTTTGTCTCTCTATCTACCTATGTCTCTCTCACTCCTCTCTATTCCTATGCTTCACATTTCTTCTGTCATCGTCAAATTACACATGTCTCTTTTCTAACTACCCCCCCCCCTTTAATGATACAAATATTAAAATGTTGTGGCTGAAACATTTCAGTGTCGAATAAAATGAATTGCACAATAAAGGACGACTTAGACTTCTATGACATGGTCAAAGTCTAGGACCTTTAAATTGTTAAACGTATGCTCAAACTAAATCATATGTTAGGAGCCAGAAGCGCGATAACTGTGTAAAATTATACAAGTATCTGGCTTCGAACACATGACATGGTACACCATACATGTACATACCCATGAGAGAATGAACTGACCCACAAAGGAATTTTGAGTGTAGATTCTCTCTCGCAATAAGTTGATAAATGCATTCAGATCAAAGTTTGGGCTACCAGTCACAATGTCCTGCCAAGAAATATAAATAGAATGCGCTCATGTTTTCATCATAAATGCTAGTAAATATATGAACAGTTATTGAAAAACAAAACTGAGCAACAAGAACTATACTTTAAGCTATGGTCACAAATCTGAGCAGTGACTGACCGATCAGTAGCCTGCTCGGTCGCTGCTGGAATTTAGGCATCGCCCAGCAATTAGGTCGGTGCCGGGCGGTGACCACCCAGGCACCGAGCGTATTTTGGGCGGCGAGTGAAAAGTGAGCAGGCGCCGCCCAAATTTTAACTCCGCGCTAAAACTTCAGCGGCGACCGAGCGATGCCCTAAAAACGAGCGGTGCCTGGGCGGCCGCCGCTCAGTGGCCTGGCAGCCGCCGGGCAAAATTGGTTAAAAAATCGCCGCTCGGCCGCCGAGCAGGCTACTTTTGGGTGATGTGACCATAGCATTACTTGACAGCCAAACAACAGGTGGACTCACATCAGTTACTTAATTAATTCAGATGACAATATTACATATATATATGTGTCAAAACTGTCAGGCCATTTTTCATGAATGTATCATGTATCGACATAATCTAATGAGAATTAAAGATAATAGTAGAGCAAGGTATTCAATAGCAAAAAATTAATCATATCTTTAAAATCAAGTGTCAGGTGGACTTACAATAACTTCATTTACATGTAGTTGAGAAAAAACCATTTATGCATGAATTATATTCATTTAAGTTATCAAAATCTATCAAATATACAAAAGAAACTTACAACAAGACTATTGAAGAAGAAAAAAGATCATGGAAAAATGTGGATTATTAAAATAGAATCTCTTGAATTCTGATGAGGCATTCATGCTTTCAACGTTTAACCACATCGGATGGTAAACATGCTCAGCAGAAAAACAATGAATGGAATGAATCTCCTGCAATGTCCCACACACTACATCAAAACTGATCCAGTCACACCTGTCTATAGTGATCGCCCAAGGCAAACACAAACTTGTTGTCTTTGTAGACAGGTTCCTTTAGTCCATGTTTCAATGAGAAACCATTTTCAGGGAAACAAAAAATGTGGTCTTTGTAGACAGGTGGTCACTAAAGCAGGTTTGACTGTATTTTCATGTGTCTCAAAAATATATGATATATTTGAAATAGATGCATGACAATTCATTACCTTCAAGAGTCTATCCAACAGCTCTGAACCATTCTTAACATTTATATCTGGATCTGCTGCAAGCTGTTCACAAGATACAAAATGAAGAAAACAGGTTGTGAGGTTCATGTACAGATTCAGATCACAATCGTTCAGAAAACATACCGGTAGTCATCTTGTTGACAGTTTTAAAAAGTGAATAGTTGTAATCCTCCTTAAAATGACAAGACATCCAAAAATAATCAATGGAAATAAGATACAACATATATGATAACAAAGTTTGTGAGAGTTTAAGACAAGGATTCAAATTATATTCCACATCTCACTTGATTATTGTTTCACTTACGTATTAATATTCATATTGTTTTTCTAATTGGTATGTAAAAGAATATACGACAGTTGGCCTAATGAAAAAATCAAAAACAAATGAACACGAATGGTGTGGAATTAGCTATGGCAAACTCCAAAGAGCTGCAGTACAAACAAAAAATAATAATACTACCGGTAATAATGATATATCATGAATAAAAATCACTGCAAACTGTAAGTAAACAAAACATAAGAGGGGAAAAATCTATCATGAATATTTTTTTAAACTGCTGTATAATAAAAAAATAAAAAAGTTTACAGTTGAAAATCTCACCACGAAGAGGACATTGAAGACATCATTGAAATGCTTAAGGATAGCATTCCTGGTGACTTTGGCTATGTTGTAGAGTGCCTCACAAGCCAAGTAGCGAGTCCTGCTATCTGGATCTTTGAAACATGGCAGGACAGGTCTGATCAGTTCAGATACATACCCTGAAGACTCCTGCCCGGGAACAAATTGGAAATTAATTTAAAAGGTTGATTGATAAAATAAGGAGGAGTAAAATATACGGTACTCATTGATGTAAGAAAATTGATGAAAAGTATTTCAGGAAAAAATATAGAAAACAGCATGAACGAATTATTGTATTGTAATATCCAGTGTCTATGTAAACTCAACGAATGAAATACTTTCAGGTCAAAATTTACCATAAAGGTAATCGGAATAAGTCTTATCAGCTTGTAACCAGACAAATACTAAAGTAGCAAGAAATGTATACTAATACTCTACACTCTCTATTTCACAGGTCAAATACATTTAGGATTTTGTTTTCTTGTTTTGATGGAGGAGTAACTCTATTTCCCTTCATCCAAAGAAAAACAACAATTCTGTGTGTTATTGTTACTTCTATTGGTCGACTAAAGCCTATAAAAATTTAAAGTGATTGAGATTGAAAAGATTCTAACCTTTCCAAGTCCAGTGGCCGTTGCAGCAAGACCGATAAGGCCACCTCTCTTGAGGCTTGTGTTTGGCGAGAGGGCAAAATCAGAACCCAGGACAGCTGTCAGTTTGTAGATCTGATCTTTGTCTCCTTTTGCTGCTAGATCACGAACAAGCCTAATTATAATGAAAATCAGTGCATAAACAGTGACGTTCAAGAGCAGGGCAATCAATAGACCGAAAGCTTCAGTCTCTATACCGTCGGTTGTTCCACTGAGACTACGTCTGGCTCCACTAGACCTCCGGTTATAGAGACAGAACGATCGCCTATGCCAGCCTATGTTGAAGATATCACGGCTAGATTTTAGCCGTTAGGCCCCTCCGACAAACATGAACAAACTTGCCACGGCCGTATTGTTATGCCCCCAAAATCCCCCAAAATGTCATTTTACCTCGTGCATATCCAATTTTACATTAGGCCTAGGCTATAATACATCGGTTCCACTTACTAACTTGATTGAAATAATCCGTTTAATGGTCCCTTTTAAGGAAATTATGGGTCAAAATCGACATCCATGTTGAAAATCTTGCAAGCCGTGTTAAACTCTCGCTGCTGTCAATCTCATCCCTTCTAGTCTACGCCGAAGGCAAAAATGATTATGAAGGAAAAACTGTGATAACGCCATTACGAACGTGTAGATGGCGCACAGTTTTTCCTTCATAATCATTTTGCCTTCGGCGTAGACTAGAAGGGATGAGATTGACGGCAGCGAGAGTTTAACACGGCTTGCAAGATTTTCAACATGGATGTCGATTTTGACCCATAATTTCCTTAAAAGGGACCATTAAACGGATTATTTCAATCAAGTTAGTAAGTGGAACCGATGTATTATAGCCTAGGCCTAATGTAAAATTGGATATGCAAGAGGTAAAATGACATTTTGGGGGATTTTGGGGGCATAACAATACGGCCGTGGCAAGTTTGTTCATGTTTGTCGGAGGGGCCTAACGGCTAAAATCTAGCCGTGATATCTTCAACATAGGCTGGCATAGGCGATCGTTCAGTCTCTATAACCGGAGGTCTAGTCGAGCCAGACGTAGTCTCAGTGGAACAACCGACGGTATAGAGACTGAAGCTTTCGGTCTAGGCAATCAAGGACACATAATTTAGCGATATAAAGCAATGGGGAAAAGATTTAAAAAGAAAGACACAAATTTAGGATTCATGCAAGCAGTAAACAAATGTTTATGCATACATGTACATGTAAATTCTTCAAGCCAGTTCCCAACATTTTCTGATCATTCTACTTTTCAAATGCATCAGCATCAGACAAGACAAGAACTAGGGCATGGTCACAGTCCAGTGATTACTGATTTGAGAAGAAGAAAATCCTCTACAGAAGTATTCAGTTTATAGGACCGTGTAGGACAGGGGAAATTTTGTTTGCAAATGTGTCTATAGGCCATGTATTTAACATTGTCAGTTGGACTAAGAACAGTCACCATGAACACACTCAGTACTCAAGACAAGTCAAGACGAGTCAAGAGTCAAACTCAAAACTCATTCACTATTCAGACATTTGATTCTGTCTCTAGACACTAATTTAAATAGATCTACAGCTAAAAAAAGTAAAAAACGGTCGAGTATCTGGAATCATGATTAGCATAGTGCTAGAATGGGTATATAATCAAACTAGACAAGGAGCATATCTCAAAACTAAAACAAAACCGGGATCTAGCTTAGATCTAATCAACTTAGAATCTACATCAACACCGGCGCGGCAGTAGAGCCATGGCCCAACCCCGCCCCGCCACGCCCGCGACCTAGTACCGTAGGCCTATGCGATATGAGTGGGGTATCATTAGCGGCACTTCACAGTGCGCGGTGCAGTGAAAAGGATAAACACAAATTTAGATACATTTACTTACTTTTCAATATCCAATGCAGCTCCCTTCCTTTTCTCGTACATCTTATCACTAAGGGCTCTTCCAATTGCCTGTGGAAGGGGGCCATAATCAGACTGATTACTTGACATTTCTGCTGTTTTTGATGGACAAATCTCGTGATCCTCCTCTTGTCATTTAGCTATGGAATGCTAATCGTGCAATCTCCCTCTCCTTTCATCTCTCTCTCCCTCTCCCTCCCTAGCTGCTCCCGCCCCCTCTATATTTCCCTTCTGTTATTCCTACCATTTACTTAAATTTCTTTAAGAATATATAATTTTATTCGAAATGTACATGTATCCATTTATTCATTTCTTACTTCCCAACTTGCTTCATATTTGCTAGTAGATATGTTGTAATCAAAGAGCTATATTATATGGTTGTAATATATCCGGTATATACCGTATTCGTTCAAAAGCTAAGTGTTGCGAGAAAAGGGAATGGGACGCTTTGTCCATTCTCTTTTTTCTTTTTTACTTTTCCCACTCATCCACAGGCGCGTACGCAGGGGGGGGGGGGGGGGAGGTCTTGGGGTTAACCCCCCCCCCCCTCGAGTTTTTGTTTATGTGTATGTTTTTTGGAACCCCCCCCCCCCCCCCCTAGTGAGCTATATTACTAATATATATCTCTATGGTTGTATAATACATGTATATCCGGTATATACCGTAATCGCGTTCAAAAGCTAAATGTTGCGAGAAAAGGGAATGGGGCGCTTTGTCCATTCTCTTTTTCTTTTTTACTTTTCCCACTCATCTACAGGCGCGTACGCAGGGGGGGGGGGTCTTGGGGTTAACCCCCCCCCCCTCGAGTTTTTTTTATGTGTATGTTTTTTGGAACCCCCCCCCCCTAGTGAGCGTTGATTTTGTTTTCAAATCGTGATGGATGACCAAAAAAGACGACCTTACACCCCCTATGAAACGGAATGTCAATCGTCAAGTTTTCAAATTTAGGGACAAAAAAAAATACTCTTACCCCCACCCCCGCTTATCGCTTATTCAGCGGCTGGCTGAGTCGTTGCGAAATTTTTGGCCCGATTTCAAATGTTAACCCCCCCCCCCCCCCTTGAAAAAATCCTGCGTACACCACTGTTTTTGTTGCTGTTCTTTGTGTTGATTTCTTCTTCATTTTCCCTATTAGTGTCTTTTTTTCTTTATTTATCAATTGTATTCTATTCACCTGATAAGTGTACGAGTTATTTTATGTTTTGTTTTTGATATAAAAATGATATCCTATTCATAATTTGGTCTTTTTCGTATACAATCCATAAAACTGAATCAAAAATACAAATAATATTATCGAAATCAAACATGTCCCATGCAAGTGCAAATCCATTCTGATTATTCTGCAAGCGTTGTTGGGATGCATGCGGTCGTAAATCACGACGTTTAATTAAATACCTGCATTGTATATTCAGGAAAATATCATTCATCATTCTTTTTATGTCAGTGCTTTAGTATTCATGTGTACTTCAGATTTGTTAGACCGTGATGGTAACGGCAAAGATAGGGGCAGACGCGTACGCAGGGGGGGGGGGTGGTTAAACTCCCCTTTTTTTTATGTGTGTATTTTGGAGAAACCCCCCCCCCTTTGATTTTTTTTAAATTATGCTAATGGATGACCTAAAAGAGGTGACCTTACCCCCCCCCCCCCCCCCCCCCCAAACGGACGAAATGTCGATCAGTCAAATTTTCACAATTTTGGGACCAACAACAAATTGTCCTCTCTAGAATAGAATATTGTCCATCTTTTTTAAATATATATCGACACAAAAGAACGGATAACTTTTAGATGTGCTCATTTGTATACTCTACATGTTTATTAACATGTTTAGCAATGTGAATTCCATAATGATCGACGCTTCATTTCACTATTCAACAACCAACAGCTTTAATTTAGCTGTCAAAGTGTATGAGCAATAAAAACAACAACATAAATATTGTATTTGTAATAGAAATGATGTTCCTTATCCAAAGGAGATTGAAATCTACAAATGGATAGAGGAGGAACAGAAATTAAATTGAATATAATGATGGTGATGATGATACATGTACATGTATTTGGGCGGTGAAAGACTCCGTGATAAATAGATAATAATAATAATATATTCATTTGTAAAGCGCGATAACTATGTGGATATATTCTACTGCGCTGCAAGAGCTCGTAAATGCTGTGCTATACATACTATATGAACAAGTGAGTTTTCAGTCTTGATTTAAAATGGATGGAATAGGCTAAGAAATTATCAATCAAGATATAATTATAGAGATATAGATTGAGATAGAGAAAAGGGAAAGGTAAGTAGACAGCGGGGGGAGGATTTGTACATATGCAGTAAAAGGAATGGAGAGATAAATTAGGGTGAAAGAGAGATAGAAAAGCGACAAAGATCGAGTAATATGGAGAGAAAGGGAATAGCGATAATGAGAGAACAAGAGAGACAAAGGAACATAATTTGTAAAGATACAGAAAATAGACAGATGGACCAATGCCTAGATTAGAGAATTCATATCGTATAAAAAACAATGAATACCATGCTTTCAAAGGAGCGATATAAACTTTACTGGTGTAAGGCATCATGTAACGGACTCTTTATTATACAGTATATATATTGATGATCCTGCACTGTGTTACTATATAATACAAGCAAAGTAATACTTATTTACGTTTCGTTGTCAGAACCAAGTTACGGAGATCGATATTAACGGGATGAGGGCAGCTTTCTTGGAATAATACAAAGATGTCTTCAAGATCGTCAACATGATCGATGATAAACCTGTCGAAGAAGCTACGAATATTGGATTCAAAGCCATTGGAAAAGAGGAGGGCACATATATGGTGAGATATAATTTATAACGTTGTTTGTCAAAAGTAGCGCTTCAGGTTTTTTTGGTCATAAACGTATAAGTAGGATTGTGCCAGGGTAATTAAGAAAGGGAAAATCTGAAGTGAGCAACCTCAAACCACATGCCAATTTGTTTATTTATTCGATCATTTATTTACTTATTTAATCATTTGTCTATTTATTTTGTTCATTTTAGTTTCCAAATGGGGCAGCTCGAAGTACCCCGGTTGTGTTCCCTATTTAGGATACTTATTTTCTATATGGACAACTACTCTTACACGCCCACACGCATACGCACCCCACCCACACAGCCACACGTGCACACCCCCCTCACACACACACACACACACACACACACACACACACACACACGCACACGCACACACACACACACACACACACACAATTGCCCCCTGAAACAATGAAATTACAACTGAGGACAACCCCTCCTTCAAATTTATTGCTTTGAATAATAATGAGCACCCGTGCAAAAGTACATTCTTTTGTTGTGTACTGTTAGAAAAAAATGGAAGAATGTCTGGAAGTGCAAATCGTTACAATGAACATAATGAAGAGCATTGTAACGTCTAAAAACACTTGTCATTGCCAAAAGATGTATACGTTTGTACAATAAAATGAGTGTGAATATTTTGTATAAATATGGTTGACATATTCGTTTGTTGATATAACAGGAACCTCGAGACGAAAACGAAATCGAAGGGGCATTCCAAGCTGATATAAAATTAACAGACGAACAACGGGCTGAAATAAGCAAAGCTTTGGAAGTTGATGACGACGATTCATTTCTCTCCGCATTTCATCTTTACTATATACTTTCGTGGTTTTTTTTTTGTGGTAATGTCAATTAAATTGAATAACTATGTGATAAATAATTAATTTTATGATCCTTCAAAATATGTCAAATAATCTAGTAAAATATATAAGATGATGATAACAATCAATGACAAAGGTGGTTTATATTAAATTAAATTCGATTGAATTTATTTTGCCAAGCAATAAAAACATACAGGGATAAAAAAAATTAAAAAGCAGTATACAAAGTATCACACTATTACGATTCCTAACATAGATAAACACAGAAATAATCATTTTACAAGCATGAATAAAATCGTTAAAAACACAAGGGAAATTGCTTAGGGTGGTAGCAGCCAGAAAGGAAGTGGTGCTCATATGTTCTTATCGATTCGGTTCAAAAGGTAATTAACAATCCTATTTGGGAGTTATGTTTGATGTCAAAGTGTGAACCCGGACACTTGCAAACAAACATGTAAACTCACCCAAAAATTATGTTAAAAATACGATTTTCCTTGAACTTAAAACAAAGCGTCTTTGAGATCCCCCCCCCCCCAAAAAAAAAAAAAAAAAAACTTCAAATTTATATTGTGCATGTACATGGAAGACATTTCTGTTTATGTCTCTTGCTCAAAAAGTAAATTATGCTTGACTCAATAAAGGTTCATTAGGTTAATAACATGTCTTGTGAATTACGCATTTTACATATTGAATAAACGATTTTTTAATGATAAAAGTGAAGGAAGGTGGAATAACAGCATGAATAAATCCTTATTAGATTATCTAAGAGCGTTCCTTAACAATAACAATACTAATTATACGTTATCTAATGTATTTGAAAACAATTAGGATTGCCCGTCCTTCATGTTTAATATCCTTGGTTGTTCCAGACCATGTTTCTGATTATTTTGGTATTTTGTGAGGGTAATGGCGGCATGGCGCGCGCCTCTCTGTTTTGTTTCATTTTTGTATTGGTTCTTTGATATTTTATGGGCACTAGTGTGTATTTGATTTATTTGCTTTTACACTGATGATTTTCTTGTCTTTTTGTTTAACTTTTCGTAATTTGTTACTTCTGGGTTTTTTTGTCTATTGATAAAGACAAATCTTTTGATTTTCAATCTTCTTTCGATTAAACATTTCCTGTCGCATACTATCATGTGTGAATTTGCATTGATTATTTCAGTGGTGGGTTTTGCATTCAGTAAACTAATACTCATTATTCCATGGTACAATTATTTCAACACTAATAACATTCTGTTCTTTTATAGCGCATAATAACATCCCAATGCGCTTTCATAGAGCTTTGGAAACTATTACCCCGGCTATATAACTCCGGCAGCCGTTATCAGCGTACAGTGCAATTCAGTGGATTATCCTACCAGTTACCAATTAACCTGACCTGGATAGAGTGTGGACGTTAGTGCTGTAATTTATAGATAAAACGAGTGTTGATTATAAAACTATTATAAGAACGATAATCAGTGTCTCACTATTGAGAGGACATTTCCTATTGATATGACTTGCGAAACGTATAGGCCCCTATTCTGCACTTTTTGTTGTATATATCGCCCCCTCTTGATTCCCTTCCAACAATTAGATATTCAATTTATTTCACAGCTATAAAACGCCTCCCCCGGCCCCCCCCCCCTTCCCTACCTATCAAATACATATTTATAGTCCCTTAATTAAGTAGATTAAGTAGATCAGTCATGTAGAAATTGGAATACATCTGTAATTGCTTTCACGAAACTAATCAAAATCGCTACTATTTCATTACTTTCAGAACGTGTGACTGTGTAAATATGACTTTTGCCTAGACCCCCCCCCCCCCCCCCCCCCCCCCCCCCCTCTTCCCCACGCCACGCCCCCTCTTAGGACGTCTATTTTCATTTATTATTTGTCTAATAGAAGACACCGTAACACTTTATCTTCTATTTCTTTCGTTCAATTTTGCTTCAATTTGAGAGGAAAATGGGCCATATTGTGATTAGGTAGTAATTACCGAAGTATACTTACAAGTTAAAGGTAAATATGTTCTTTTAAATATGTGTAATACGGCCTTAGGAATTAGGGAATTTATTAGGGAGGGTTATTTTCAGTCGGAGGATACCGTCTCCAGCGAGCGCTTGTTCAGAAGCCTATCTAAATTTTGACCCGTAACTCCGGCGTGGAGATACCCTAATAAAACATACCCAAAATGAAGTAGATCTAAGTATTTTTGGGGAAAACGTTGATATTAGCTTGCTTCCTATTGACTTTGTACATGCGGCCGAAAACTACCTCCAAAACAGTGAAAATGGAAATGAATATTGTCATGGCAATTCATGATTTTTTTCTGGGATTCTTTTTTGTTTAACTAGACCTAGATCTAGGGTCTATGTGAAATGGTAGTATCTAGACCTATAGGTCTATGTGAAATGGCATGGTCTAGGTCTACATCAAAATTTGGTCCCAACCCCAAGTTGTGAATATCGTCATGAATAATTTGTCTTTGTGACCTAGATCTATCTGTTATATGAGAGCACTTTCAGTAACTTATAGACCAATCTATCGCTCTTTTGTCTGATACCTTTCCACATGGGAATAAAAAGACTGAGACTTTTTTTATTTTTCACCGTCTTATAAAAGCAGAACTCAAGTTATTTTTAAGTTTGGAGCTCAAGGAGTTCTGAATTTAACAGTCTTGTTTCATAAATGGTTTATAAAGTTGAAATTTATATACATTGATTCCTTTGCACTTTATCATGCAGGTTTGAATGAGACAATGTGTGGGGTCTTTATAAAGAGACTATCAATCACAAAGTTAGAATTCGACCCAAGCTAGAGACAAAAAAGCAAAATGTTTGCTTTTCAGCGGTATATAAGGTGAGCAGACAGCCATGCAAATGCCATGTTACATACCCTGTAATCTGTATATTGTGCAAGATATCTATTTTTAAGATTATGCCATGATAAAAGTTTGAATATAATATATCAAAAAGATTTTGATAGAGATACTTTAATGTCAATATTCTGATGAACCAGCTTTGTCCATGATACACCAAACAAAGTAAAATTTATCATCTTTTAACACTTGCATATATATAAACAAGTGACTATGTAGACTAGATATTCCTTTTGAACATTCATGTGAGAAAGTCAGTCTAAAAGATGATGGAAGCATGAGTGCTATGAAATTTCTTTTTAAATTAATCATCTAATTGTGATGTTACAATTTAAGGATAATTTGCATTATACTTGTAGAATTTTTATTGTCCTTGTTGAATGTGAAGATTTCTCTTTGTAATCATTGACTATTCTTAATACATTGAGAAATGAATTAACATTCTACTTTGTGTACATGATTCAACTATGTTATTAACTATGTTCAATCTTAATATCACCTTTTAATGAACTTCCCATGGTGGAAAGGACTTTCATCAATTCAATATACTGTATGTGTATGTACAGTGTAAGTATTATAACAGAGACTAGATGTACCATGGAATGTAGAGTCTGTACATGAAAGTTAGGCTCCCAGCTGTGGGGAAAATGATAGAGGAAAACATTTCTAATCGAGACAATCCGAAGTATTTTAGTTATAGGTTTAATTCATGTAGAGAAAATCATAAATGTTTTCTTTTATTATCAGTGTCTTGCATGTAAAACAGCATTTGCCTGAGTTGTATCCTATCTTTTAATCTGTCTTCAGGTCGCCATGTGTTAAATTACTGGGATTTAACAGCATTTGCCGGGTCCGCAGATACCTCACTACGGCACAGACTACTGAAGCTCTCCGCCCTTTTATCTTCGCAGTACATCCAGACTTCTTCGGTCAATATCCCAAAGAGAGGGTAATAGTCTAATACAATCCTCTTGTACCATTTTAGATTGCTCTAAAGTAAATACATGTTGAAAGGTTGTTTTGGGGCAAGTCCAGGGTTTTGGTCTTTTTATGTCCTATATAATATAATAACCAGTATTATATTTTTTATTAATGAAATCCTGTTCAATGATTGGTCAACATAGCATCATGTGACCAAACATAACATTGCTATGATGTTACCGATGAGAAAAATGTGTTTAGTGCACTATACCATGGCTGACGTCATAGATATGCGATCGATCAAGATCAGTGTGATAACTTGTCGGCCCGGTCGCAGAACAGTCGTCTGCGCTGCTCTCACTGCACTCAACACTAATTCAGTGACAGTATACATTATTGTTATTATTATTATTATTTTTATGAAGGTTGGTTTAAAAAATATAAAACAAATACACATGTATCATGCACTATTTCAAGCCACTAGTCAAATTATGGATTCCACGTCGACAGGAATAGTGCTATTTCTGCCACCTGGATCCATAATTTCAACTAGAGCCTCTCAGTGCATGGTATATATTTGTTCATTATGAAATTGAGAACCTAAAAAACAATGAAACTATTATTTTTCTTGATATTTGATCTGATACCATCTATTAGGACTCATACGGATTCAAACAAAATGTAAATGCAACTTTTGTAATGAACTCTTTTATCATTTGAATCTTGCATTTCTGACTGTAGGATATGTGAATTCCTATTTCTCAGGCTGCTAATGAAAAATCTCTGAAGCTGTTGTTTTCTTACATCGATGGCCTTCACCAAGACCAACGAACCTCTGCAACCGAGCTGACGTTCTATCTCAGGAATCAAACACCATTAAATGGACAGCCAGTCAACAAAGGTACAGTACACACTACACACCCATTTATTTATTTATTTTATTTATCTTTTGACAGGGTAGCCCATTCACCAACAAGTAGTGGTCTTCCATGGGGCCCTGAATAAACATGAACGTATTTACATCGTTTATAACGTTTATACAAAACAGTTTTAAAAAATAATACTCCTTTTGAAACAAACATATATCATTAACCTAGTAAACAGTAATGTTAATAGAAAATATTGATTAAGTCGCAATTATGTGAATAAGTCATGTTAATATTATGAACATGCACGTAGTGTATGTTCGGCTGAGCTATTCACAAATTACAACTTTGTTTAAACAATCTCTTAAATGAATTGACAGAGGAAGCATTCTCAACAAATTATCTAGCTTATTCCATTCAAATATGGAAGAAACAATTGGGCTACACTTATAACAATCAGTGTGAAATTCAAGATGCCCAATTAGTTCCCTTCTTGCAGTCAGGGAATAGGAGAAAAAATTACTCCTATGATAAATTAAAGAAAAGTTAGGGAATGTCATGGGCTCCTGCCAAAATAAATGAGTCAGTTTCTTATCATCTGTTTGGTGCTAGAAGGGCCTTCACTCATATCACTATACACAGAGGTAATGCCCTTTTGGCACCAAATGGATGTTAGAGTCTCTTATGTTTTGTCTGGTGTCCAAACAGGGTATTCACTGGATGGTTGGTTTATGATGGTTTATTTAGTGTGTAAAATACCCCGTTTTGACGATGGAATTTTGAAACTTCATCATGGAAAAATTGGAGAAAATTAGAGATTTTGTTATAAAATGCTAGAGGTTTTGACATTCTATGGCTGATGAATTCAGTGGTAATGCAGGGTAACACAGATACGTCGCTCGTTCAGATGTCAAAAGCAAAGAATGATGATGAATCAAGTTGCCTCTCATAGAGATTGTAAGTAGGAAGGAACTATTTGGAACTTCATGAACTGACCATTGAGCATGTATTTAACTGTTCTGGTTGTCAATGCCAGTTTAAATTTGATGAACACTGGCCCACCTAAAGTTTACTCATTGAGGATGTCTCTAATGTGTTATTTATGTGTTATTTATGCAGGAGCAGGAATTTTTCACATAATTATCAAACAAGCTATGATGCAGTGCACATCGGAGCACATGATACAGTGGCTTTTACATGGATAAACTGGCTACCTCATTTGATTTTTTTTTGTCTCGTAAATTTAATGTTTTTTAAATTGGCAATGTCTTCATCGATCTCCATGTTTAGGTGTTATATTCAGGAGTGTTAAAATCGGCTTATCGTCCTTGGACATCTACACCACAGTGAATGGTATCTTGGCGTCATGTGACCTATCTACGGCCGTCATCGAGCAATACAAGCAGGAGAATGCTGAGAAGGAAGGGGAATTCCCAAGGCCAGTGGAATGGCACCAATCCTACTATGCATACACTGGAAAGAAAAATCCAAAGGATAATGTGCAGCGAAAGCAAGGAAGACCTGAAATAACATTGAGGTATTTTCATTGATAGTTTGGTTGTATGGCTTATTAGAAATACATGTACAAAACATTTGGCAGCCCATGGCTGATTAAATTCAGTTTAATATTCGAGACACATACCAATTTTGAAACATTTACTAAAAAATGAGCGTACTCTGTTTTCATTTTATTTTCTTTGTGTTGTGATTAAGTTAACATCTGCTATCCACAAAAATGGTCTCCATTGACCTCATGTATGTTTAATTTACAATTGAAATGAATAGAAACAATTTTTTTTTCTTCTTCATGTTTTTTTTAATCAGTTCAAAAAAGGTATGGGAATGGAATTTCTTTGGGAAAATGGTCTTTGGACTTTGATGTTGAAAGTTAGTCTAACTCGTTTTCATCCTTCTTTCCCTTTCTTTCCCTTTCTCTCTTCCTCCTTCCCCCTTGTCCCTCCCTCACCTAGACATCTTCACTTTGATTTTTTTTTTGTGGACCTTTCTCAAATTCTCTTGCAGTTATTGGCTGAAGAAAAACATAGCTGAAGCCAGGAAGAAGCTGGAGAGAAGTCGGCCAACAAAGGAGGAAATTGTATCTCTGAGACGATATCTGATTGGTCAGTTAGGCTTAGAGGATATCGTATGGGAGAGCATGTGGGACTCTTCTATGTTTTGTTCATGTCTGAAAACTATGAAAGACGTCTGCCAGCAACATTGGGCTATCATGCAAAATCTGAGAGGTAAAATCATATTCACTGTAGATAATATTCAATTCAATAAGCGTGTATTCATATGACGTTCTGGCAGCCGAAGCTGAATTGCAGGTCATTTATACAAGGTAAAAACATCATGATATTTAAAATACACTGAGCATTATACATGTTAACATAATAAAATTAATGACATATAAAAGAATTAATATACTAGATATTATACTAGATATTATTCATATTCATTGCATTATAGACAAATGCAACAATTTTGGAAAGCATAATGATTTATTATGAAAACTAGATATGTACAAAAGGAGAACAAGGGTACGGTGGAGGTCGTTTGAATGCTATAGAAACTTACGTCATATTACCAAGATAACTGAAACTGTCGTAAGATTTTCCTTGAAATAAATACAAGAACTTTATCTTTGGAAAGAAAGCTATAAGTGAAATTAATCATAAGGCATTTTGAAGGATCCAAGACCTACTAATTTTGAGAAAGCCCCAATCACAGCAATACCATGCTTCAATTTATTGCATTGAATTACTCACATGTGACCCCAAATGTTTTATTCTTGCCAGTAATGACAATTACCGGTATTGAATTACCGGTATTGTAAATCCGAATTTATGAGTTTAAGTCTTATTGTTTGTTTACATTCTCTCTTTTGCAGGTTGTACAGTCGTGCTTGGTGATCTGACCAGGCTCACCCCGAGTGGGCGTGTGGTTCTTAGCAGCCAAGATGTACCACACCATTGGGTCTCGGTAAGTTACAGATGTATGCACCGTAGACGATTATGAAGGGAGGGGATTGATTCTTCGATGTGAAAAGACAATTTATGATAATTTTTTATGATTAAGCCATGTTGTTATCTTCTGTACGGTGATGATTGTTACTATTATTGATTTCATTCTTTGTGATCATTTGAACCCTATGTGGTGTTTCATTTTAGTGGATAACTTGAAGTGCATTCAAGGGATCAAGACATTTATCCACAATTTCCCACTCCTAATCAAGTTTGTAATGCTTAAGTGCCTTATCATGGAAGCTGGGGTTATTATAATATTTATCGCTTTGTATCTTTAGGGAAATGCAGTTTTAGATCGCATTCAATTACAACCATCATTCATTGTCATAAATAGTTCTTCCACTTATTTATTTGTTTCTTTGTTGTTTTTCTGTTTGTTTGTTTGTTTGTTTGTTTGTTAATTCAAATGCATTTCCATCTGTTTCATTACAGTTTATATCCGGCCTTCCCAAGCAGAGAGAAATCCTTCCCTTCATACCCCCTACAGAGCAGGCCCTGTCCACTCTCCTCGGGGGTTGCTCAGTCAAAGCTCTGGAGGGACCAGCATCAACCATGACAGCAAACAGCCATTATGCTGCCCTCGTGATGCTTATAGAAACCATGGAGAAGCATAAGTTTGTGAAGAGGAAAGGAGAGAAGGAGGAAGAATGCCTTGTCTTGCCAGAGGGGATTACTCAGGGAATCAATATCATCATTGAAGGGTAATATATTGTATTCAGGCCTAATAAAAACTTGATTTATGTCGGTTTCCCGATTTTTTTTTTTTTGGATATTTTTTTGGATTTTTTTGGATTTTTTTTTCCTGATTTTATCCTGATTTTTCCCTTATTTTCTCTATTATTCTTCCCTATTTTTCCCTATTATTCCCAATTTTTCTAACTCAAAAGGGGGGGGGGGTTAATGTTGTTAGATGCCATTTTCCCCTCCGAATCCTCTTCTTCTTTTTTTTCTCAAGGGGGGCGAGGTTAAGGGGGGAAAAAAATCCTTTTTTTTTTTTTTAGTGCACACTATCACCCCTGTATATTTCAGAATTCAATTAGTTTATTTTCTTTGAGGACAACTTGTCAGATTCAGTCCAGAAAAACCTGTAACCTCCCCATTATGGCCCAGTGTGAATATTTCGCTTGGCTGTGATCTACAATTCTTTGATTGTGTCAGTATTTAGCCTCAATACGGCCAAAGAACTTTCTCTTTCTCTTATCCTCTGGAAGAAAGGCATATGACATCAACCAGGAGAATACCTCCCTTCTTTTTTATGTCCTTTTTGTTGTTGACATTCCAACACATTTAACTAATGTAATTCTGCACTGTGCTATTGTAGTGCTTCATATATCTATATCTGTTATTCTTCCATTTTGTTTTTCAACTTGTAGAAGTACGGGTGAGCAGTACATTGACCATAATGGGGACGTTCATCTCATGTGCAATAAATCTGCACCAAACATCATTAGATATCTACTGAGTAATGCAAAGAATGCCAGAGAGCTATGCAACAATCACATGAGGTGGGTATATCAAATCAGGTTTTTTTTCCTAGCTCTTATAATAACCCTGTAAGTAGGGGCTTTGATCGGATCGGAAGATCGGAGCGACACCCCGCACCTATAATTGGTATCGGCAAAAAATATCAGCAGATTTTTTTTTTTTTTTTTTTTAAATGCCAAAAATTTTCAAGTTTCTTCAAGATTTTTTTTCTGATTCATTTACATTGATCGGCGATCAGAATTTATTATACGATTTCACCTGATCGACCTCCGATACAATCAACGGTTAAGCAGGGATCCCACTTAGCCGAGTTGGAGCCTCGAGTTGTGGCGAGCTGGCGCGATCTTATGGCAAGCAGTTTTATCATTAAACATAAGAATTCAATTCTTGATGTCACGAAATCGAATTCCTGATATCACGAAATCGAATTTGTATGCCTCCGTTACGAAGTAGCCGGAGCATTATGTTTTCGGGTTGTCCGTCCGTCCGTACGTACGTCTGTACGTCTGTACGTCTGTACATACGTCTGTACGTATGTACGTCCCGTTCTTGTGATCGTGTTATCTGAAGAACCGATCGATGGATTCTTGCCAAACTTTGGTCATGTATGTATCTTGCAGAGCCAATGAACTGATTAGATTTTGGGGTCACGAGGTCAAAGGTCAAAGGTCACAGGGCTCATTAGGTATGCAAAAACAGCTCGCGATCGCGTTATCTGAAGAACCGATTGATGGATTCCTGCCAAACTTAGGTCATGTATGTTACTTGCAGAGCCGATGAACTGATTAGATTTAGTGGTCATGAGGTCAAAGGTCAAAGGCCACAGCACACATTATGTATGCAATAACAGCTTGTGATCGCGCTATCTCAAGAACCGATTGATGGATTCCTGCCAAAATTAGGTCATGTATGTTACTTGCAGAGCCAATGAACTGAGTAGATTCTTGGTTCATAAGGTCAAAGGTCAAAGATCATGGGCTCATTATGTATGCAAAAATAGCTTGTGAACGCATTCTCATTAGAACTGACAGATGGATTACTATTTAACTCAGGACATCTTGCAGAGCCAATGAACTGAGTAGATTTTAGGGTCATGAGGTCAAAGATCAAAGGGTCATATATGTATATGAGAAATTGCTTGTAATCACGATATTCTGAGAACCTGTCAATGGATTACAATTGAACTTGAATCCGAAAAATTTCTTCTGTTTTGGTTTGTAAAGTTGCTCTATGACGGAGGCATCATTTTCGACTAGTTTATATCAAGAGTTACCATTGCTTTACAACATAAAATTATTTCTTGATAACAAGAATTGATTTATTGATACCAATTAATAATAAAACGGCTTGCCATGAGATCGCGCCAGCTCACCATAACTCAAGGTTCCAACTATATAACATATATTGATAAGACAAATCTTAAATGCTTGCATGTATTAATAACTTTTTGCAGGTGCCACAGTAATGACAGGCATAAAATAGACTCATCAACAATCATTCCTTTACAGAGAAAACATTGATTGTGTTCAAAGTAGAAAATAATTTAAAAAAAATAACCTCCATATGCATTTTAAAACGATTGTTATCAAGCACTTACATTTTTCTTAGATTACAAATTTCTAGCATCTTAGATTTAGCTTATCTATTGTTTAACAACTGCTTTATGAATCATGCATTACAATCGACAAAATGTAGATTGCAGCCTACATTTTGTATTTTACATGAGTTTTGTAATTCAGAAATGTTCTTGGTGCCATTTGGCTCAAACATGTCCTGATGAGAATACACTAATTTTCCTTAATAATTGAATCAAAAATATTGAGAAATATACCAAGAAAGACCCCATCCTCTCATTTTAACTTTATGAGTATCTTGCTCTTATTAATCTTTTCTCTCATTAATCCTTTCTCTTCTCTGTCTATATTTGTTTTCTCAAAAATTTCCTCTGTCTCCTATTTTCTCCTTCTCCTGAATGGTAGTTAAGCATTTATGTACGTCATCTGTTTCATTATCCCTCATCCTATTGCATCCAGTTAAAGATGTTGAATATTTATTGCTGTTATTTTCATAGTCATATATTTCTCTTTGTGTTTAATACAGTGATGTCAAGGAAGAAGCGCTGTTAATCTCTCGTTGCCTGGAGGAGTTGGAGCTAGCGACTCTGACCCGTCATCTTGACGTCACCCCGTCTCAGATGATCGCCTGCTGCCGTAAGCTTGAAGAGAACCCCGTCAGACTGGGCGTGGTCGTTAGAAACCTTCATGTTCAGATCAGACACCACTACGCACTGCGTAGAGACGGAGACGTGTGCATCCCATGGAATTGGAAGGAATGAAACTCGATTCAGATGAGATGGAGACTTAAGTATCCCGTGGAACTGGAAGAAATAGAACACCTCCTACATGTACATGAAGATGAAAGCGATGAAGAAACTTAAAGAGACTGGGTAGTTTTTAGAAACCACCAAGTTCAGATTAGACAAAACTATGCACTACACTGAGATAGAGATGTCTACATTTCATGGAATCGGATGGAGTAAAATCCCCCCCCCCCCAAAAAAAAAAAAGAAAGAAAGAAGTTTGCCTCTAAAATGAGAGTGGACTTACTGAGATAATTAAATAAACTCGGGGAGAATCCCGTCATAGGTAGTGGTTGTTAGTAATCTTTATGTTGAAGTAAGACATCACTATAAACTGCTTAGAGATGAGGATGTCTTTAAAAGCAAAGCCTAAATTGACCTAATGTCGAACATGGATTGGCAATTTTTTGTGGGTGTCAAAACTTGGGGTATCAAAACATTTGGGCGTAATCCTACAATTAGGTGTCGAGTGTCTACAAATTCTCTAGTCCATTTTTACATGTTAATAAAATTGAGTGTTTCCCCCCCCCCCCTTTTTTCCTTCTCTTTTTCTTCTGTTGATTATTAAGGGGTATGATTAATATATGGGGCGCTCAAATTGATATGATTTGTTTAGATACAAAAGCCAGTACTGAAAGTTAAGGAAAAGATGACAATTTTCTAATTACTTGTATATTATACTGCTTTGATAGCAAGAGAAACAAAGATTTATTTTTTAGAAGAATAATATATCATACAATTTTAAGTGTGTATATGTGGTATTATGCAATAAAATTTACTATAGTGACAAATCTCTTGTATAATCTATGGATTATTTCATTTTTGTTAAAATCTTTTTCAGTTTACATAATATAAAGGATATCTTCGTGGGTCTACGCTTAACATGATACATTTCTTAGATGTTTTTCATTGAAACAGAGAATGTTGAGTTTCAATGAAAAAATGGTTTATCCATTCTCACCCTGATTGGATGTTTAAGATCTTCGAAGTGGCATTGTAAAACCCTATTTGAAACTTTCAATTAATAATCGAGTTCCAGATATGGAAATATGCATGTAGAAAATCATGTAGTATCAAAGAACTTGATTTTGGTTTGCATTTTTAGTATTTGAGATAAAATCTTACCATACTTGTACATTTAACAATAACATACTCATTCTCCATAAATACTTGATAAAGTTACAAGATATCTCTCTCACAAATAATTCTGTCATTTAACTAAGGACAACATCAATTTGGTATGCTCTCAGAAAACAAGTGATGCTTTAGTGGGAAATAAATACCATTTATCATTAAATTCAAAACTCACACATGTACACTTCTTCTCAAAATTAGATACATGTCACAATTAAATCAACTAGCTAGGCTGAAATGAAAAAAATTATGTCATGATTTTCTTAAATGAAAACATTTAATATTGCATTTGTAATCCACAATAGTACATTTCGAGCAATGGTGATAGATCAATTAGTACATGTACATGTTTATTTAAAGGAAGACAAACCGAAAGATTTAAAACTGTTATGTAACATTTGCAAGTAATAGTATGCACATACATACTGGAGATATTTTCTTGTCAAAACGTCAAATACATTTATCAAGAGAGAGTGGCATCGGTGAAAAGACGATTGGTAGAGAGAGAGAAAGAGAGTGAGAATCTGCCACATGTACACAAAGAGCAAGAGGTGACAGATGGAGAAATAAACGAAACATGAATAAAATTTGACACTAATGTATTGATATAATGACATAAAGAATAAAATTATACAATACAATTTAATGTTTGAGAAATGTAGGTAGGTAGAGAAATGGCACAGGGAGAGAGACAGAGCAAGGTACAGACAGACACAGAGAGAGAGAGAGAGAGAGAGAGTGGGAAAGAGAGAGAGAGAGATAGGAGTGTGGCAAATGGTAGCTCAAGCTTCCACTCCACGAAAATCTGCACTTTTTGCTTCAGTTGAAAATGGGCCCCTTTCTGGCACATTCAGCACAGGCAATGTAATAATAATAATAATGATAATAATGACAACAACAAATGTAAATGAATATATTTATTGGCATCAGATCATGAAAGTTCAATATCATGCATTGTAATACAGTGTACATATTAACTCACTACCAGTATTATATTGTCTTTTTGATATACAGCCTGAATATTTTAATTTAACTACAGCATAGATCAAACTACAAAACAAGCGAATAAAATTGGGTAACTTTGAAAGTGTGAACCTTTTAAGATAAACTTAAGTTTTACATTGCACTTAACCTATGGCTTCTTTATACATGAAGCATATTCTTACCATCTATAACAAGAAAATTCAATAAAAATTAAAAAAAACTTTAGTATTAGATGTTTATCATTGGTTCCATTATAATGTTTCACACAAGTATTTGAACTTCATTGCTCATTTAATACCTGCCTGAATAAGGTTGAAATTTGCAAACAATCCAAACAATTCTGCGAGTTTGAATGTCTTGCAAATTTCCTCCATCTTAGAGCTGCAAAAGTCTTTGTCAACACTCTGCAAAATAACTGTAATGTCTAAATCAAAAACATATTTGCACATGATTACACATAAAGTTTAAGAATACAAGATAGCAGAAATACTAACAAACCAAAAAGGGTTTTACATTTGGACATGTGATAAGTATCAGACATTTGCTTGATCATTGGGCTGCAGAGAAAGCTACAACAAATACAATCATTGCTATAGTGTACAGAAATTACACAAATTTGTCCCCCATAACTTTAAGTAGGAATCATGTGAACAGAATTGTCCATAAAATGCTTTACAAACGTTGTATGATAGACATTTCTACAAGGTCATTGAGAACCTTCAAGGCAGAAGAATGTTTTTCTTAGAACATATAAATTTCATAGAAATGCATTTTCAGTTTTGGTAACCCCCCCCCCCCCCCCCCCAAAAAAAAAAAAAAAAAAAAAAACCCTCTTAGTTGAAAAATAGCAAAAACAAATTAAACAAGTATCCATGGAAACTTGTACATGGATGTACTTCAAGATTACATATAAAATACCTTAGATTTTGTTAAACAATGAAATGAAGGGGGAAAGGTCAGTTTAGTGTTTTGTACACCTGAGGCTTGATAACATTTTCAAATAATTATAAACCATTACAAATATGCCGTGATTTATATCCTTTCCACATCCGTTGTGAACAAATGGTTACACTTATACACCACTGTCCATTCTCAGACATCAACAGACTTTAAATTGATTTCTCCAGAGCTTTGTTCTCCTAGTTGTTTCTCAAAGCACCATATCAATCTCATATCTGAGCTTCAATATAACTTAGGCTACTTTTAGTAACCCATAAGGCACTTAGTGTTTTCTTCAAATATATTTCAAATATTTCTTAATATCATTCAACTCTTCCATACAAAGTACTTCATAATTCTGTATAATTCAACTCGACATCTCAATGCAGGATCACACAAACTATTGCCAATCTCATTTAACCTTTATCTCTAGTTCTGCATCCTGTCATCCATAGTCAGTCTTTAAATATTCATAATCTATTATTATAAGGCAAATTGGCTTTCCAATTATTTTTTTCCCTTGTTCTTTGAAATGACCAGTAAGCTAAGGTCATGCATCAACAATTCTTCTTGGGATACCAGTTTATGAAGTTTAATTCGAAGTGACCAGCAGCAATTCCATCTGTGAGATATGTGTCTAATTAGATTTGTACAAATGTGTATCAATCAGATTTGAATATTCACGTCTGGTGAGGAACCCTCAACATCACCATCCAAAAGACAGGACTCAGTCTTGAACTGAGACCCCTCAGAGTCGGTTCTTAGGTGAAGACAGATCGCAACCACTAGACCAACTCGTAATTCCTGTGAGAAGTAAGCTGTAGCATTACATTTCAAGACAGATTTTTAGATTTACAAACAGATGTCTCTGCAGTCATTCACTAAAAACTAAGCCTGAGATGATTTGGGCTGGATCCTTTTGGAAAATGTATGTTATACCAAAATCAAATCCTATCCAACAGGGGGGCATTTCACAAACTTGCCATCCGTGACATATGATAGATTTTGTTGTAAGCTACTGAAATCCTTGCTTCTGATTGGTTATCAGTATTTGTCACTGATTTTTGTCATTTGTCATTGAAAAATGCTTTGTGAAACACCCTCCAGGGATCCTTTCTCAGTTTAGCTCTTCAAGCTGTGGACCACCTTCTCCACCTTACTCCTCCTCATCAGGATTGTCTCCAGGCCTCTGTGGCGGCGGCTCCATGTTCTGAAGGAGCTCCTTTCTCAGTCTAGCTCTTCAAGCTGTGGTCCCCCTCTCCACCTTGCTCCTCCTCAGGATTGTCTCCAGGTCTCTGAGGCGGCGGCTCCATGTTCTGTAGGAGCTCCCTCATAGCCTCCATGACTGCTCCTACTCCCTGCCGCAGGTTGCTGTTCTGGCTGAGGTAGCCTCCTGCAGCTCCCAGATCCTCCCCGTCTGCTTCCCCGTCATCGGCTCCTGCTTCACCAGGGGGCTGCATGCAGGGTGCAAAGGAACAGTGAGTCCAAGTTTGTTTAATATTCCATTTTAAATGTGTGATCTGACATTTGCAATTGTTCCGAATGGGCGTTGGCTTTGGGGATAGGGGTCGTGATGGGTAAACGGAAGAAGTTAGGAGTTGTTTAGTGTTGGTTATTGACTGCAGACATATAACAATTTATTGCTCTAAAAATGTCAGAATTTTTAAATAAATATAATAAGAGAATGACTATGATGTATTTATTTGTGGAAATATGAAAGTAAACAAAATGCATACATCATACATGTATATGATTGTAGGAAAGCAATCATGGAACTTATTGCTTTGTGTCCTATCCAAGGGACTGTACCCTAACTCAAACCCACTGAACTGACACTCTGACTTTGATTATCAACTTAGAACAAGATCATTCCTCAACTGCAGATTAGCAATGAGATATTCAAGAGACATAGTTCATTGCGCTACAGAGCACACTGCAATTTATACATTTCCAGGGGTAACTTTGTTCCTTCAAGTATATGTTACTATTATAATTGTATATGTGACATTGTAAAGGAAATAAAACTCACCGGTGGCACATAAGATGGAACGAGTGAGCGCAGAAACTCGGTAAACATATTTCCTGCTCGCCCTCTCGAGACAGGCCTCAATCGACTGTGAAAGGAGCAATGAAGAAAATCAACCGTTATCAATTGCAATAATTTTAATAATCCCTTTTCTGGTACGAACACTGTGATAGTGAATCCATCTGTAGCAACTACATGTAGGTTTCTTGATTGGGACCTACCTGCAGTGTCTATGATATAAATAATCAGAAAGAAATCTTACATAATTAATTGTCTACATACAACAACAAAAAATTAATGGTACACACGAACCAAACTTCCTCATCCTGTGTGTAGTACAAATCTATATTTCCACAACAGCATGAACAAAACAAGAAATAATAGTTATTAATAATAATAACAATATAGAGGATTTGTAATGCGCCAACTCTACACGACTAATGTGTTCGCAATAATTGATGGGAGGTACAATGGCTCAGTAGTGGAGCAGTGGTTTCATAACTGGGAGGTCTTGGGTTTGAAACCCAAGTCAATGCGCTACTGCCCTTTGGGCATCAACCCTCATTACCAAGTTATTCTGTGTTTGGGGGGGGGGGGGGGGTAATTCTGTAAAATACAGTCAGTTGGATGCCACAGCCTTAATCTTCATTGTGATGACTGTCAATATGCTAGTAAGCTTAGAGGAAGATATTTAATTATATTAGTATCACCATTAATACTGGTTGAAGTTATAATAAAGAGAAGTAATTGTGATAATAGTTGAATTCATAGAGCATGATTTTCCAGAGGAAACAAAGCACTGAATACTATCATACTCCAGCATTAAAGGAATTTAAAGCCTGTCTGTACTAGTTTGGCCAGGGGGGATTAGACCTCCCTGCAAGGTCACTGACAGGTGGTTATCTCATCAAATCAGCTCTCAATTAACATAAAAAAAGAGGATCATGGGGGACCAACAGGCACCGATTAGGCATTGTTTGCTATATAGAGGGCGCAAGTAGCTATAAGTAGTACACTGGGGCTTTAAAGTAAGAAGCAATGAAGGAATCATGTAAGAACTTACTGGTCCGGCCTCGAGTAACCAATATCGGAGTCTTTGGGTGGAAGCGGGTCAAACGACATAACAGGAGTGTTAGCAAGCTCTGGAGGTAGCTTGAGTTTGACTCCAAGATGCTCCGAGAGGAAGATGTGTCGGTAGATGTTCCGAGGTGTCCCATAGTAGCGGGCTTCTCTTCTACAAAGAAGAAGGGGCCATGACAAGCAATTAGATTCAATAATGTTAAAACTTTATTAAAGGAAAATCTGCAGGAAAAATGACTTGAATTAAAGCAGAATTAGAGGGAAAAACAATATAAAGAGTACAAATTCTATTGATGACATTATATGATAACACAATATCAAGGTGCTATATGATACAAACAAACATATTTTAATGTTTACACCATTCACAATAAGTAAAATACTCAACAGGCATTGGAGGACTTACGGATTAATATTTGTTGTCTTTATAAGACAGGGCCCTGTTTCTAAAAGCTTAAGATCTTCATTCAATCAAAATCCATAAATTACATCTGATTAATATACTTATTACATACATAACAATATATTTTGATGACATTATTCTTTTCTTAAATATTTTTTTCTTCTATTACCTACTCCTTTTTTTCCCTCTTCAAATAATAAAAAAGATTATATATCACCTATTCTTAACATATTTCCTTACAAGAAAATGCTAGGTTTCACAGACAAAATAATGTTTCCATGTTCAGTCAAACCTGCTTTAGTGACCACCTGTCTACAAGGACCACATTTTTTGTTTCCCTTGAAAATGGTTTCTCATTGAAACATGTACTAAAGGAACCTGTCTACAAAGACCACTTTTTGTGTTTCCCTTGGGCGGTCGTTGTAGACAGGTTTGACTGTACTCACTTTTCCGCATATTCCTTGACCTTTGGTTCTCCGGCATCCACTCTGCGGATGACCTCCCTAGCATTCCTCTCTAGCCATGCCATGCTTTCTGATTCCTTCCAAAAAGAATAATTCCTTGCAATAAACAGCTCCACTAGCTGTGTCAGAGCTGCATGACTACAGAGGTGGGAAAAGAAATTGAAAGGAATCATGAATGAACTCAAAATATTGTGCTGAATAAATTTTGGACTAAAATAGACAACAACAAATCTCTTTCTAAATGATGGGAATACACCAGTTTACGGCTGTGTGCGCCATTTTAAACAAAGCCAATGACCTAGAGGTCATGTATTTATGCGTAAATTAAGATTGCGCCCATGCAAATTATGATGATCACTGCCTAGCCTACGCGCTGCGTTGTGCGCGCATATCATCATTTGCATGGGCGCAATCTTAATTTACGCTTAAATATCACTGGTCAAAGGTTATTGGCCCTGTTTCAGGGCCAATGACCCGAGGTCAACTGTCTGCGCATGCGCACTGATACAACCGTAAACTGGTGTATTGGACTCATGATCTATCTTTTCCTCTCTCTATAAACGATGGTGATTGATTCACATTGAATGCAACCTGATATCAATGGCAACTCTGTAAAAAGAAGGGAGACTTTAAAGTTAGGAATTATTGGAGGACTTATGGATAGTTGTTGTTTCTTCAAGCCTTAGATCTTCATTCAATCAAAATCCACAAATTGCATTTCTTAGTCTTGTGCATTCACTTTTTTTCTCTTTCCAGTTGTATGCATTTTGCCAATTTCTTTGATATTATGTGTTATCCATTTGGGATTAAACTTGTGTAAACTTATTTGATTTGTAAGAATTGACCTGTACATTGCATCTCCCCTCCTCCCCCCCCCCCCCCCCCTCATGCTATCTGTAATTCCCTATGAATGTATTGACTTACGTTTCCACTGTTTGAGTGAAGAAAGAATGGCTAGCGATAGCTGCATCCGGTTGAATACTGCATTTCTCCAGCAAGGCAAGAAGTATCTGGATGATGCAACAAAGAAGGAAGAGATTACATTTCCGTGGTTACATCTTCATCCATCTCTTCTTCCTACTCTTTCTTTAATGTCTTCTATCTTTGGGTCACCTGATCATTGGCTTTCATCATTTGCTCTGAAGTGTAATCTTCTTTCTGTTATTGATTTCTCTGAGTATCCTTTTTCTCTTATCATCTTATGACTTTATTATTCTTTTTTTCTTTCTTGTTTCTTGCTTCATAAGTTCATCAATGAATTGATAACAATAAAACAGAATACATTACTGTAATGTCCTGGAACAAGACTAATCACAGTAGTGATAATACAGCCACGGAACCTGTACAATGATTATTGCACATGATGGAAACAGATTAGAAGATGAAAGTTTAACCATGCAAAGAAACCGTCTGCATCGTCCTCATTATAAAGTCGTGTGATTGACTATGTGAACAGTTATTCTACTGAGAAGTCAGAAGGTACAATTACATGTATGTATATCTAGGCTTTATGTTGATAGCACCTGCAGTGAACTGATCATTGTATACCTGTATATGATAACAGTTGGTATTCCCCAGTAGGCCTGAAAAGAGGCACGGACATGTTGAAGCTCATGCCTGAAACAGCTTGAGATCAGGCAAAAGCCTAAATACTAAAATTCTGTATAAAATCCATTACTTTTACGATCAGCTAGAACTAAGTTTTAAGTTACAGGTCATATTAGTACAGTCCATGTACCATTGTACTAATTATACTTAATAATAATAATAATAACTTTCAATTTATTTTGAGCCTACCCGGGTATAACTAACAATTAATTCTCTATGCACTTGACATTAAAAAAGTTTGCTTTACAATCTACATCAACATATATAAGAGGACAAATAACACCACTACTTACTGAGGGGAACATAAGCAGGGCATCTTGTAGAAGAGAATCAGCTCTGCTTGTATCTGGTTTATCAGATGACGCTGAAGATGATGAAGAGGAAGATGTGATGCTATAGAAATATGCCATGGCAATGGAGAATGCCCAGTTAGGAAGCTGGGACAGGTTCCGATGTGCCTGCAAGAAGAATTGTAAATCACGACCACAGATATCTTAAAGGCATCGTTTAACAATGTTAAATCTGAGATGCATGGCCCTAGGTGCTATCAGTGTCTGTGATATGGTGTAATATTGAAGCCCTAAAATAATTGTGTTTTAAAATTATCATAAAGTGCCTCAAAAAGTAAAAATCAAAATCAAAATGACCGGTTTTACCATACCGGTACTCATTTTCCCCAATAGACTGTAGTGTTATAAAAACTGTTAGGAAAATGAAAAATTAAATTTTGATTTCCAATCATAAATATCTTGATAATCAGACAGGCAATCGGCCTGTAAAAGACATGGGATAGCTGACTGACCTAAAGGTTTATAATTATGATTGCAGCATGCGCTGAATCCAGGATTTTGTTTCAGAATCTGAAGCAATGTTACAGAGTCACTTTAAAATCACTGAACATCATGAAGCACCCATGTGCCAGGTATTAGACAAAATTGAAGAATTATTAGCCCCATCCAGTACGGTACACAAGGATTGCTATTGATCAATGAGTTATTAATGATGCACTTAAAGTTCATTACACTTATCTTTCAGGGTGAGATGAAACTTGTGTATATTTATCATACTCAAACTTATACTTGTGTATGATATGAGCACCTAGTCTCATCAAGAGCTGATAGATTGTGGATAATGAACTAGTAAAAACATGCATCATTTGCTCTACACAACAAATATCCTATGTCCTTTTCATTTGATTACAAAGCATGACAATTTCAGATTGGTCAATACCATTTTCAATGGCAAATCCCAAGTTAAAGGCCAAGTCCACTCCAAAAATTAGTTAAAAGTAAGTTATTTTTGGAGTTGATTTGCCCTTTAAGTCACACACATAATACAACTTGTCTTCAATCAATATATTCTCATATTAAAGTAGGCTTGGTCTGTTCTCCCTTGGGCTATGTTCCTATTTCTGTAGATGGTATAGAAAGTACTTAAAGTAGGAGGTAAGGGTCCTCAATTTAACATCCTATCTGAGGGACAGATATAGAGAAATGGAACCTCATACCTCCCACTCAGCGTACATTCTGATGAGGTAATCGTTCTGATCCGTCTTCAAAGCGTAGTAGTCCATCATGAGAAGGACACCTAGAGGATCTTTATCTGGCTCTAATCTGAAATGGAAGAAACGGGAAGGAAGATCAATACAAGGTGGACCTAGTTTACAATATTTCACAATTGAGGTATATGATAAAGAAGAGGCCAAGGATTAAATGTATCTACACAAAGATCACATTTGAAAACAACTTCCTCTATAGAAAAGGAGCATGATACAAACTATCATAATCCCGGTTTCGAAAATTTACTTTTTTCAAAAATATTTTTATACAGAGGTACCAATTAATCAATCTACCTTCTGCAATCTCAGATCCACAACAAGAACAGCAACATAAATGTTAAATACTGCTAATATATAAATGTATTCCTTCTGCAGTCTGGATTCCATAATATTTTGATTAAGGCAATCAAACATTCAATGCAAACCATACTAAACAAATTCAGATTTGGAACCTCAGCCGCGTCATACCAAAAGACTTTAAAAGACGGGAGTTGCTGCCACCTTGTTTGGCGTTCAACAATAAGGGATAGAGCAACGTCGATCTGGCGCTGCTCAGTGGCTGCCGGGCTCACGATCAATTGGGGAAAAAAAAAAATCCATTTTCAGTTTAACTTAATAAAATTTGGAGTGGACTTTAAAAGATTATTATTATTACTGTTATTATTATTATAATAATATTTCTGCCATTTGAATTCGAGAGTTTCCTATTAATCTTTACCAGCTTTCCATAATGTCTTCAATGACAGCGCTCCACTCACCCTAACAAGAGCTTGCAGAACTCCAGAGCCGTCCTGTTACAGCCTTTCTGACCCAGGCATGTTAGATGTCTGAAGAGGGCTATGAAGAATCCTCTGTTCTCCGCATGTCTGTAACTCAGCTGACATGTCCCCTCGGCTAGACTGAAAAGCGTATGGAAGGTACTCTCAAACACGTACAGTGCTCTTTCTGTTTGTAAGAGAAGCATGTATGAGAGCGTTAGGCATTGAGTATGTGTGAATCGTTACAGGAATAATAATCGGACTGTCTGCCCTGCATGCAATACAGATTCTGCTTGTTGATGATTGATAGGGTATTCTCTCTCTTGTTTAAAATGTTCTTTGGAAAATACATTTCAACCCTTCCATAGTGAGCCAAGCATACTTACAAAGTGTATCACAAATTAATAAATGTGAGGCAAACTTCAATCATAGTTCCTTTTTCAATGTTATTCCATGAACTCTTTAACTTCAAATTTTTTGAATTTGGAGAAAAAAATATACCACGTAAAAAAATATTGGGGTTCAAAGTACCTCTGTTACTGAAGGAATGAAATTAAAAGAGGTTACTATACAGGGTACAAATTAATAGAGAAACGTGAAAATATTCTTTAACCCATTGCCTACCGGAACCAGGTAGTTCTTGTAATAATCCTATGAGCATGAGAGAGTTTAGTAGTCAACAGGATTATAAAAAAAGTTATAGTAATGTGAATATTAACAATGTCAGCATAAATGATGATGTAAAGAGCAGAAACGCAGATCTTTGCTTACCTATAAGGTCTATAGACATGCCCATATCTTCGTTGATCCTTGAGACTTCACTCAGCTGAAGCAAGCTGTCTATATGGTAGGGGTGTGCATTCATTATGGCCTGAAATTGGAGACCAAAATAGTTTAATGATTTTGTTTTTCCAACTCTATCTGCATTGAAAAGTGCAAAATCTTGACATATTGTAAAACAGAAAGAAATATCATTGAGAAATAAAACTTGTAGCATCCAGAATACAAGTTCACAACCTTTAATATGTGTTCCCAAATACAAACAAATTCCACCTCCTGCAAAAATTGCACACAATATATAATAAAGATCTTTCCAAGTTATTCATTTTTTAAGTACCGGTATGTGAATTTATCTTTATAGATGAATGAGAGTGTATAGAAGAGGAAAATTAGTCACCGACAGCAATGTTATATAAATGAAGTTCAAGAGTACAATTCAGCTGAGCGTTCTCACCATAATATTAGCAGGATTCATGCTTTCTACCGCGTCCAAGAAATCAAACTGAACGTTCTGGTAATCCTTAGAATGCTCATATTCAAACGTCTGATATCTGAATTACAAAAGATTTAGTTCATGAATTAAGAGGAAAAAATAAAGCAACTTAAAGAATCATGAGATTGAAATATATCTGGGATTATATCTTGCTACATTGTTATTTGATTTAAACATTGTTTTAAACATAATAACCATAGACATATCTAAACATAAATAGAATACAAAAGGGTAATTCAGCAAGAATCAGCTCCCCCCCCCCCCAAAAAAAAAATACAACAAATCTTGGTTATCATCATCAATCGCAAAATATGATTTATTTGATCAAGTCCTTGAAATCAAAGATGCACTTACCTTCCTTCTGTAGTAATGTAACGCATCGACAAACCTGACAAACACAAACAAAGAACAAATCATTACTTTACATATAACTGACCAATAGGGGGCTGAAGTAATTGAAAATATATCATGATTAAATATATGCAAGAAAACACATGATTGCAATGCTTAAGTCCAAGAAAGAAATGTTTTCATAACCCTCAGTATGGAGCTGAAGGCAAGGGCCAATTAAAATAGATCATAGAGATTAGTATAAATCATAAATAGTATCATGATGCTGATGAACTGGAGCTTACCGTACATATCATCTTTACTTTTCAAAAAGAGTTATTTTGCCCCTCCCCTCTTAAAGTGGAAGTTGTCTTCTACACATTTTTGCTCTAATAGTCTACATATAAAAACCATGTGACTACACGATACATTACATATCAGTTTATTTCCCTAAACATTCAGAACTCTACTTGGTTTTAAAGAAATTAATGAGGCACGAGTGACAAATCTTTGATGTACCTGTTTTTGACATTTTAGGCCATGATTGCTTGGCTGTAACAAGCCAGGTTGACTTCTGGTACTGCCTGTTCCTCCCTCTCTGCCTGCACAGAATGAAGAAAAATCATGGATACTTCAATTCAATTCCATTCAATTATTAACAATATAAACATTAATTAATACACAGGATCAGAGTATGTTTAACAAAATTATAATACAGTACCGGTACTAACAATAATACATAAAATCAAGATATATAGTATTTGCATATCAATCAACTAAAGAACACAGCCATACTACATGTAGATACAATAAAATCTTAATAGCTCACTGCTCACATACAAATATTCTTTTCTCAGACATACGCATAGCTTTGTATAAAATAAAAAAAGGTCCATCACAGAATAAGATTAGATTCAGAATCAGTCAAAGAATAAGATTTGATTTAGAATCAGTTCAATCAGTCAAAAAATAAGATTTGATTTAGAATCAGTCAAATAATAAGATTTGATTTAGAATCAGAGGTCAATACAACCACTGTCATCACAACACTAGATGGCAGCTTACAAACTTATCTTTACTTGAGATGAATATTGACTATGCACCTCACTGATCAGTTTATCATTATTATCCCTCTTAATTATTATTGTAAACTAATATTACCTTTATCGGCACTGGAATTATAACATAACTAACTAGATGGAACTTCGACTGCGCGCAGTCGAAATGATGCCTCCGTCATAGAGCAATTTACAAACCAAAACAGAAGAAATTTTTCAAATTCAAGTTCAATTGTAATCCATTAACAGGTTCTCAGAATATTGTGATTACAAGCAATTTCTCATATACATATATGACCCTTTGATCTTTGACCTCATGACCCTAACATCTACTCAGTTCATTGGCTCTGCAAGATGTCCAAAGTTAAATAGTAATCCATCTGTCAGTTCTAATGAGAATGCGTTCACAAGCTATTTTTGCATACATAATGAGCCCATGACCTTTGACCTTTGACCTCATGACCAAAGAATCTACTCGGTTCATTGGCTCTGCAAGATGCATACATGATCTAAGTTTGGCAGGAATCCATCAATCTGTTCTAATGATAATGCGATCACAAGCTATTTTTGCATACATAATAAGCCGCATGACCTTTGACCTTGACCTCATGACCCCAAAATCTAATCAGTTCACCGGCTTCGCAAGTAACATACATGACCTAAGTTTGGCAGGAATCCTTCAATCGGTTCTTGAGATAACGCGATCACGAGCAGTTTTTGCATACATAATGAGCCCTGTGACCTTTGACCTTTGACCTCGTGACATCAAAATCTATTCAGTTCATCGGCTCTGCAAGATACATACATGACCAAAGTTTGGCAGGAATCCATCAATCGGTTCTTTGGATAACGCGATCACGAGCTGTTTTTGCATACATAATGAGCCCTGTGACCTTTGACCTTTGACCTCGTGACCCCAAAATCTAATCAGTTCATCAGCTCTGCAGGATACATACATGACCAAAGTTTGGCAGGAATCCATCCATCGGTTCTTTGGATAACGCGATCACGAGCTGTTTTTGCATACATAATGAGCCCTGTGACCTTTGACCTTTGACCTCATGACCCCAAAATCTAATCAGTTCATCGGCTCTGCAAGATACATACATGACCAAAGTTTGGCAGGTATCCATCAATCGGTTCTTCAGATAACGCGATCACGAGAACGGGACGTACGGACGGACGGACGGACGTACGGACGTACGGACGTACGGACGGACGGACGGACAACCAGAAAACATAATGCCTCCGGCTACTTCGTAACGGAGGCATAATGATAGTATAAAATATTGCAACTTAAAGGCACACTGTCCTACTTGTAGCTTCTTGCTCCCTCTATATAGAAAACTTCCCCAATCAGTGCCTGTTGGTCCCCCATGATCCTCTTTTTCTTATGTTAAATGAGAGCTGAGTTAATGAGATAGCCACCTGTCACAGTGACCTCGCTGGCTCGCTGTGTGGTCTTATCCCTTCTAGATGAAGTAGTAAAGCCTACCTTTAAACCTGAGATGGTATTTTCAACGATTATTTCATTAGTGAAATGGTTTTAAATGTCACAACAAATCTAAACATATATCACATCTGAATAATGTGTACACTGATGACATCTGCCAATGAAAAGTCACCATCTAAAATTTGATATGAAATTTCAGACCATTTCACTAAAATCAACAAAGGATAATTCTTGAAATACAACTCCAGGAGAGTATCTATCTACCTTTGTTCATTTCTAATAACACTGGCTCCAAATATCCTCCTTAACTCATTCTCTGGGTTGAGATGCTTGTGTTCAATACATAACAAGGGTTTAGAGTTTGCCGTCCTGGAACCTTGGTCAAATGATGATGATGATGTAGAAGTTGAGAGAGGAAGAGACGTCTTTGAGGTCTCATTGATCTCTCGTATACTAGCATCAATTTCATCTTCCTGTAAAACAGCAGAAACAAGAAAAATAAAAGATCAGTTTATTCAATATTTCTCTTTTTTGTCAAATTAAATATAATTCATTGCAATATTACTAAAAAGTTGGATAATGGAATACTTGGCTCCACTGTAATTGCCACATTTAAAGTGAATTAATTGTTTCCTAATCCTTCTAATTTTGGTTCAATATTTATTTTCAAATTCTAATAGTTTCTGTTGTGTACAGAATCTACGGGTGATGAAATATATATACTGGTAGATGTTTATTTTATAAAACTGATTTTGTTTTTCTTCTATAGTTTAGTTATTCAAAATGTCAGTTGATTGATCATTTGTTCGAAGCATAAAACACACCCCCCAAAAAGAACTTAACTTTGGACCGTGTCTTGTACATGTAGATACAACACATTACAGAAAATACTACAAATATTCAAAATGTTATAAACATCTGAACTGCTTCCCAAAAGAAGAAAAAATACACTTTTGACTACACTTACATCCTCTGCTTGTCCACTGCTTGCTCCTCCCTTCTGTTTTTTCTTCTTCTTTTTCTTTTTCTTTTTTGATTTCACTTCTGTTGTAGTTTGATTAGCAGTATCCAATCCATTTTGAAGGCTTTCAGTGCTTTTATCCGTATGATTCTGGTTTTCAACCGATTCAGCAGCATGTGCAGTCTCTTCATTGTCAGACTGAGCATCGTCTATATCGTTCAGCTGTTGCGAAAGACATTATTCATAATTAATTAACAAATTTCAATCTATTGACAATATATCAGCTTTTGTAGAGATGCTGTGAGTTGGTCTTGCAAACAACACTTTCATAATCACTCATCAATATAATGCTATTTATAGCTTGGAAAGAAATTTACAAAGGAGGATTTTGCCCAATGTGTCCTGTACGACCTATGATATTTTCCCATTTATTTTATCCAAAAAATGCAACTCTCTTGACATGATCATTGACTAAAGAGTCTTCTTCGTTTCACAAACATTAATCAATGAATGTTTATATCACTATATTTTTAATTTTTGGATGAAATAAAGGGAATAGACATACATGTACCAGCATGTCTGTCATATGGGACAGATTGCAAGGAACTACCCCAGATTGGCCAGATACGAAGCTATATGAACTAAGGTATTCAAATTTTTTTGATAGGAAAATTAATACTCAATGACAGAATGACGATGAAAGCTGTAATATCTTTAACGTTCAAGTCTTTTTCTTCATCAAATTGGAAGTGAAGAAAGCAGAGAAATAATGAAATATCTTAAGATTGCAATCGTTTGCAAATGTCAAATTGAAATGAGATTGTTCAGAAATTGCACAAGCAAAGATTGAAGATTCCTAGCCTAGTTTATTCCATTTCATCATCTTCTTAAACAACTGAAAGAGACAAGCACACAATTCTCAAACATACCAACTCGAATGGGTTCACAACTTTCTTCTTCTTCTTCTTCTTCTTGGGCTTCTTAGACGTTACAGCATCATCTATCGATGCTTGGACCCCCTTTTCATCTTCTACTTCCTCTTCCTCATCACTGACTTCTTCATCCTTGAGCACAATGTCAGGTTCATGACACAGTTTTCTCATGGCACGGGATGACATCTTGGGAATGCTGCAGAGATAAGAATGTTTAAAAAAAATAGATGTAAAACTCACAATGTTTAACAACGACACTAATAATTATAATTTCCAAATCCAAATACATGTGAGGTAAGCAAAAATGCCTGGTCTTGCGTTGATAACATGATAATCACTTTACAAAAATAGCGATTACTACCGATTAGTAATAAAAAGGCGCACGCATCTCAAACTTTCGTCAGAGCCTATAGTGTCAGAGGTCAGCTTTTCGGTAACATAATGCGGATGAATAGCTCATCGTCTTCAGGAACACATGCATGATGCAGGGAAAAGTGCTTTCAAAGTGCTTTGTATGAGAAGAAAGAAGAGTCCACTAGCAAACTCCAAAGCCAGTTTGCAAGGTTCGTCGGATCGGATGCGGGATTGGTGATTATGATTCTGAACGCATTTTAAATTTTGTTTTAATACATCACATTCACATTCACAGGCATATGGGTGCCAATTAAGGCTAGGTGTTATCAATATCAAATTTCATATTATCACCTAGCCCTTTGCTTGGCTAGGAGATGAAGAACAAGAAGAGGAATAAAGAGAAGAAGATGAGGAAGAGAAAGGAAGAACACAGTACAGTCGTGCCATCGTAGGAATAAACTACACAATCCGACTAGTGTGGGACTGAAGTGAAGCAAAACTGAGTAAGAGCCAGACCAAGACTCCGCCTCTAAACGTTAGAAAAATTGATAAATACCTTTTCCTTTTATATACATTCATTTCTTTTCCCTTACCTTCTAATACTTGCACAAGATATCCAGAAGAATAGACCAGATGTTCCCTACGATTGTTCTTTTAAGTTTGAAGATTGCACAATCGGGCAGCTGCAGTAAGATTTTCAAAGGACATGGATTGAAAGATACCCATATACGGTAGACGGTAATTTGTCATTTGCGATAATTTATTCTGACTTACTTCCGTAGTACGCTTGGTACAAGCGGCGATGCATGTGTGAAACAAGCTCGAAAAGTTTACTTTCGCCATACGTTATGACACCCCGGTATGACACGTGAAAAATAGGTCCTTTTACTTGATATTTCATTTCTTAACATGTCTCTTTTTCAAAAACTGATTTTCTACAAAGAGCACGGAAGGAGATTTATATTTTAAAAATGTAATGAAAATAAAATCTGCGTTGTGATTTCTATGATTGCAACCTCTACATAATTATGGGACCGGTAGGCCTATATCATTTCCCTTTCTTGGCATTGTCACTCCAGCAGAGCATTATTTTGAACACTGTGAATAATGTTGTAGTATTAAAACCATAAGAGCTCTGATTTGATCAATGATTTATTAGATTAAGAAATCAATATGCTTTACTAGAAGAAGAATTAGCCAACGAGCAGAAAGACGGAAGAAGAAGAACATAGGAAGAAGCAGGATTCATCGAATTACTAGTACGACGAAAAAAGGGCTTGAACGGGGCTTGAAGTGGACCAATTTTGATATACTAAAGGCTAAAGTTACTGTCTTTGAATGAATCCCTCTTCTCTGTATGTAAGTGTAACAAGCTTCTCAATGAGCCCCTGTAATTCATACCATAAGTCATTACGTTTCTGAAGCCACGTTCTTATTCTTTCTTATTGGTCATGCACCAAAAATGAGTTGGTACAAAATACTTTTCTAGGTGTTTCCGTAATAATTCAAAATTTCAATAGTAACACAAATGAGAATAATATGAATATTATTATGCAAGACATAATAATTTACCTTAGTGTGCAAGTGCATGACCGTAAAAATGTGTAATATTTTGCACACAACAGTTGGAAACGACATACAACCCAGTAGAATACATGCATATGAAGGGGAAACGAGGAAATAGAAATCGTGGAAATAAGGGGGAAATGTGAAAAAAAATGGAGAGAAGAAAGATGTAGAGAAAAATATGGTGTACAGGAGGAAACAACATAGGAGATTATATAACCACAGACCTTGTGATCGACAGTCCGGAGACGTATCCAATCGACAACGACACCATTAGTGAATGCTGCTGATGATAATGTGAGGGTGATGGTGATGATGATGGTGGTGAAGATGACCATGGTGGTGGTGATAAGGATGATGAATGTGATTAAGATTATGATGATGATGGTGATGATGATGATGATGATGATGATGATGATGAAGATGATGATTGTGATGATGATGATGATGATTATGATGATGATGATGATGATGATGATGATGATGATGATGATAATGGTCATGGTCAATCAAATCAAATGGAGTGAGGAGCATGTGGGCCCAAGTATCGGCTTGGCGTGGTTTTCCATTCCTTCCTTCCTTCCTTCCTTCACTCTGATGTTCTATCCTTTTCACCATGTTCAGTGTGTAATACTAGAATATAAGAATATTTCTATCTTGTCTATCTTTTATTTTGATGGTTCTTCTATGATTATAAACATAACGATATAGTTTCTCATTATATTATGTATTTGTACAATATGTGACCAAAACAAATGTAATGTATTTTTGTGAATTTGGATGAATAAAAAGAATTAAATTGAATTGAATTGAATGGTGGTGATGATGTTGAGGAGGAGGAGGAGATGACTGAATAAGATGATGAGCAGAATGATTGAGGATGGTGAATACAACGATGGTAATGAGTGCGATGATAGTGTTTACGAAGGTTGATTTCACTGTTTTGAAGTCATTGCTCTTAATTTGTGTAGGGTCTTGATTTTTATCGAGGCTTGATTAATATGTCTTGAAGGAATTATGCTAAAGTAATGAATGTCCAATGGAAGGAAAATTCGTGTTTTAACAATTGCTCAGCTTAGGGTTTGCAATCTTGACACGACCAATTCCTGACATAGCGCCCCTCTATAGTTCAAACCAGACGCAGGAATTGGGCCAGTTCATCATTCAAATTTATTTCTCTAGGCAAATACTTAATTTTCACCGACAGGAAGAAAATTGGTATGATGCGAAAAACAATTGTCTTTTATCTAATTAACTTGTCACCAGGCTTTACAAAATCAAATAATGTACATAATGTGGGGGAAAACAGACTGTCTCCATTCGAGAGAAATAAAGGAATAGATACCTAACTTAATAAGGGTGATTCTGAGGTACAGAAAAGCGAAGAAAAATTAAATTTCTTTAACATTGTTATTTCGTATTCATCTATAAATATTTTTTTTTTAAACAGCAAAAAGGTGATATTAATCCACGGTTCAGCGACCAATGTAAAAACAATCGATTCGTTTTCCTGTCGTAAATCAAACCTGTTTGTTGGAAATGTGGAGTTATATTTCTCCAATGACGTCATTCGAAGGCAACGAATGTCTTATTATTCGAAAAGCACCCCTGGTCTGGGAATAAAAGATTCGATCCTTTCAACATAATTTACCTAATATTGATTGCTTCAAGGAGCATCACCGTAACGTATTCAACTATGGGTGTTGGATCTAAATATGCTATTAGCGAAAAAGTTAAACAAGGCGGATGTCCCGTCATTAGCATTTTCTTTTCGAAAGAAAATCACCATAACCATAACGTATTCAACTATGGGTGTTGGATCTAAATATGCTATTAGCGAAAAAGTAAAATAAGGCGGATGTCCCGTCGTTAGCATTTTCTTTTCGAAAGGTTTTTATTTTTTACACAAGTTTGTAAGAATTGCCATCTCCAACGTAACGATCATAATAACATTCTATCCACCTTTTCCCATTTACTCGCTTATCTTTTGTTTTCCCATTCCTGAATAAGTTCGACACTGCTTCCTTCTTTATTTCTTAATATTCTTCCCTTTTGCTATCCATCTATCTCTCTCTCCACATCTCTCTCTCTCTCTCTCTCTCTCTCTCTCTCTCTCTCCTCTCTCTCTCTCTCTCTCTCTCTCTCTCTCTCTCTCCCTCTCTCTCTCTCTCTCTCTCTCTCTCTCTCTCTATTTATCTATCTATCTCTCCCCCTCCCCCAGTCCTTATCCTTGTTGATATGAGAAAAAAGAACGTTGGTCAAGTGTACTTTCAATCCTTGTATTGGCAAGAGCATATTTCTCCACGACGCATAATATACTGTGAAGTTAGCAGTCATGAATATATGTCTGTCGCTTAAAAGTACCGTCGGACGTATATTTCTGGCGTAGGGTATAAATAAATGCAATATCATTCTCTACCAGGCGCGTACGCAGGATTTTTTCGAAGGTTTTTTTTTTTTTTTGTTCCAAAATTTGAAAATTTGGCCGATCGATATTTCGTTTCGTTGAGGGAGGGGGTGGGGGGGTAAGGTCAGCTTTAAATTGAGTGGGGGGTTCCTCCAAAACACACACATAACAAAAGTTTTTTTGGGGGGGGGGGTCGATCTCCAACCCATTTTTCTCATCAAAGGCTGTCTGCCATAATGCCTGCCGGTAACCGTCACGAAAATATGAAATCATCCTAATAAAAAGCTTTTGGATAGGCTATAATTATATTGAAACGCGTATGACGTATCGTGAAAAATTTCATGAGGTAGGAAAAAATAGTATTTTCAACTCGCATCACTTTATGGGTGTATCTATATCTGACAAATGTTATAAATGTATGATGTTTATCTGTGTGTAACAACCACGTCAATACTGCATTTATTCCATATACGTTGCCTCCAGCTGTACAGTACTCTCTTATTAATCTAAAATAAGTCTCATAATGTTCGGCTTTATGTTTTCACATCTTCCTTTGCTCCCGGGCCCTTCTAACAAGTACGCTGCTAGAATGCTAATCTTGTAATCTATCTCTGCGTAGTTTGCTCAAAACCAATAAATGCTTTTTCAATCTTGCTCCATGCATGCAGTAACAAGTGTTAGTAAGTCCAGCCAAGGCAATCTTGGTTTGTTCCCATCGTACATGTGTTTAGCATACTCATTTGATAGTTCGATCGCTCGCGCCATTTCAGCCAGACCGTCAAAATCAGAACCCGCATTCGCGTGTCGTCTGCGATGCGCCAATAAGATTCAATTCGTTCGTCTTCAGTAGACGAAAGGCTGTCGCACTTATGTTTAATGGTTTGATCATGGTTTCTAATTAAATGGTGCAGCGATGTAGGCCTATTCATTTCTTATATGTATAAAGATAATGAAAGCTTATGGTTTGAAAGTATTTTTTTCTTATCTTAAGAGTGGTTTTCCGTGAAGAACGAAAAACTAACCCAAAGACGAAAATAAGTTTGAGAGAAAATAATATTGTTTGCCTGGATAAGAACATACTTGAACAGATTAGGCTTAGAATGATTCATCTATGAAATTCTCGTCAATTGAAGAATTATGTTTAGAAATGAGAAAATGGTACATAATCTTACAAAGTCTTGACTGAAATCTGTAGTGGATTCGAAACCGATAACGAGAAACCCCTTTAAAATGCCTCCGCGCGGAAGTTCGTGAAGGATTTCAGCATCTCGTTAAATACGACTGCGTTGTGTGCTCGTCTTATGCATGCATACACGTGGGTTTTTATCCCTGCATTATGCACACGCCTTCTTGTGTTATTATTCTCAGTAGCTATCGTGACTTAGAGATCACGGCAGCTCCGTTTCCTGAAAGCTCCTTTCTACGGCGATGTCCTTATCATGGTCGAGATCATCATCCTTGTCGTATGTAGATTCCTTCGAGGTCGAATCGACTAGCTCTTTCACCAGACTGTATAGGCCGACTGTGGGTGTGATTTCACCAACGGATTTATTGTCTTTTTGTGGGCGATACCATACTGTGGACAGCTAAACACCGTTTAAAACATCATACTGTGGACAATGTTGCACTGTGGTCAATATTACACCGTGGTCGATATTACACTGTGGACCATATCTTACTGTGGAAAATACAATACAGTGGACATTGTCACATCGTAGACAACATATTGTGGACCATAATACTTGGCAA